ACGGATTTGACGGAGAGTTTAATTGTTATGCAAGTTTAAATTATCACTGAAATGTATTTGAACTCCACCTTTGTCTGTTTAAAACTGACCTGACTGTGTTGAATATAGGGATGCACCGATACGATACCGGTATCGGTAAAAGTTAACCGATACCAATGCAGTAGCTTGAAAATGGCTTCACTGTAACTTGTCATTTCTGTTTGCCTAATATTTTAGTTTTGTGATGATTTTTATTTATATATTTTACTTTTTATCAACCTCACAGTCTTTTCCTGTTGAAAGCAGAGAAGAAAATAAAATCTGTATTCCAAATTATTGCATTTAATGTGTGGTAGAAGTATCGGTATTGGTAATCGGTATCGGCGAGTACTTGGATCCAAGTATCGGTATCGTATCGGTTTGGGGAAAAGTGGTATCGTTGCATCCCTAGTTCAATAGTGAACACTCCGGAGAGCAGAAGGGTAACCGGAAGGATGGCGGTTAGTTCAGGCGTTCTAGTCATTTCCTTCTAACTCAGTTGCAGTTTTCTTTCATCAGACCTCGTTTCGGCTCCACACCGATAAGGTCACTTTCTGTCTTAAACCTTCTCGAGGTGTCCCAGATGCTCTGCTCCATCTTCACATGCAGATCATGACACAGGGATTTCAGTCTTTAGATCTCTGCGTTGGTAAAAAGGGCCCTGCTGTCTGACCTCATCAGGAACTTAATAAAATGTCTCGTCCACACAGAGCTCTCCGTTACTTCGAGAAGTGATTAAATAACGTAACTATAACTGGCCCTTCTAACTGGTCTTCTAGGCTGTACTGTGAGACCTCTTCAAATGGTCCAGAACGCAGCGGCGCGTCTGGTCTTCAATCAGCCAAAAAGAGCACACGTCACCCCTCTGTTCATTGAGCTCCACTGGCTACCGCTAGCAGCACGCATCAAATTCAAATGGCTAACATTAGCATACAAAGTCCGAGATGGTACGGCTCCCATCTACCTGAATCCTCTTGCAAAGACTTACGTCTCGGCCCGGCCGCTCCGGTCATCACAGGATCGTCGGCTAGCAGTGCCTACACCACGCTCAGGACAATCCAGACTCTTCTCATGCATCGTTCCACAAATGTGGAATGACCTTCCAAGCACTACCAGAACAGGAGCTTCCTCTTCGACTTTCAAGAAACTCCTGAAGACCCTGCTCTTCAGAGAGCATCTTCTAAACTAGCACCCTCCCTGCACCCGTACCCCCTCTCTACTGTCCACTCCTTGTTCCCTCCTCTCCATGACTGATGTCAAGTTGTTGTTGTTATTGTTGTTGTTAGCCTCAAGGGCAACATGCCGATTATCACTTGTAAGTCGCTTTGGACAAAAGCGTCTGCTAAATACAGAAACATAAATAAATCATCATTCAGACTCAGTAAGGTGGCTGTTTAAGTCCCGGACACTCTGTGGACTGTTGCTGACATCTGCAGGCTGAAGGGACATCGTGAGTCAAACCTTTTCTGCAGATCAGCCTGTAGCTACGTCATTTATTATATTTCTTTGTTGTGATACTCAGGCATCAAAAGCCTTAAAACAATCTTGTTAAGTTTATGTTTTAGTTGTAGGGTTAGGGGTAACCCTATCCGTAACACATCCGACTTCTGATTGAGAACCATGGAAACCAGGTTTGTTTGACCCCACCAAGGGGCCGATCTCTGGTCATCACCTATTTATGTCTGTGCAGGCAAAGGTAACAGAATACCGTGTTTACCTCTGTGCAGACTAACTCTCACAGGTAGCCACAGGTTAGCAGGTAGAGTAGAAAGACAGCACAGGACTGAAACGCACCATTTTAGGATCTCCACAGGCGACAGGAGTTGCACCATAAGCAACATTTCGAATGTGTCCCATCAGCTCCAACAGCCACTCCATTCTGTTTGAAACGCCTGCAGAGAAGAGCAAACAAAGAGCCTGATAACGCCTCAGCGGGGCCGCTGGCGTCAGCGTTCCTTTACAGAACGACCGCACTGGAGGATTTAGAACAAGTTACAACCGGTCAATCAAAACACGTTCATGAAGATCTTTGCACTACATCACTCTGAAGCTAACCCACCAGCTTCAGGACTTTTCCTAACGACCGTTTCAGGACTTGGTCACTTTAAATGGTAAATGGCTTGTAGCTAACTGGTGCCTTCCAGACTCTTAAGGGCCTTTTCCACCGCCCAGACTGGCACGGAATGGGAAGGATCGGGTCGCTAAATATTTTGTTTCGATTGTTAAACCAGTCCAGAAAGCCTACCTGGACCGGGCCAGAGCGCGACCCCTTCTGTTGTGGGTCCAGAGATTTTTGGTCTGGGCGGAGCCACAGCGTAAAAGGTCTAGAGTCCTCTGATTGGGGGAGAAATGACGTAACTACGCGCGACAATCCCAGAGTTCGAGTGTTTGGCTGTACTCCTTGCGCGATAATGCCTGCGAGTATGCGCGCAGCATAGCTCCAAACGCTATCGTGATGTGGGTGCAAAGAATATACCGAACACCAAGAACAGAAAGAACGCGCTGCTGACTGGACTCCATTGTTGTTGTGTTTTGGCGCGTTCTCGTCGCGCTGTGCGACGTTAAGGCACACGTCGCGCGTGACGCATTACGCTACCCCGCCTGCTAACTGGAGCCTGGAATGCGATAGAAACGCTTGCCAGAAAACTTCTAGACCCATACCGGTACATACCGGTCCAGACCAGGCGATGGAAAAGAGCTATTAGAACGCCCAAGGCGCTTTACAACGCACAAGACATTTATCCACCCTCACACTGCCCAAGGGTGCACTGATAGAAGTGAGGCTGCTGTGCGCAGAAGAAGAAACAATCTTTAATATAGCGCCTCTCAAGATAACAACCACGAGGCACCACCCGCCCCTCCTACCACCACCACCACTGGACCAAGAGGGTCAAGCGTCTCGCCCGAGGACACGACGCTACCGACTGAGCGGGGTGCGAATCTACACCTCTCCAGTTATGGGGCGGGCACTTAGCTCCTTTGCCACATCGCCCACTTATCCACCATCACCACGTTGTGAGCTCAGACATCCAGGAGAGGCTCGTAGTAGAGCCGATGCTCCACGCCCAGATCGCAAGCCTTCGTAAGCGTCGACAGGTGAGGAGTTGTTCTACGGTCATTTTCCTTATTGTGACATCACAAAAACAGCGCCATTCAAACTGCTCATAGAATCACGTGAAACCAAAATCCAACAGTTTGTGTTTACGTGTCACAAAGTGGAAAAGTTTGGATTTAGTTTAAGTTGCATGATTTGTGTTTTACTGTTGAAATGCTTATTTTGTGTTTTGACTGGTTTTTCCCTTTGTGGTACCTCCCAGAGACACTAATTAGAACAAATGGGAACAGGTGTGGAATGCCCACAGGTGCAATGGACTCCAAACGAGGTATAAAAGGAACTGAGGAAAGAGTCCAGGAGAGCAGCAGACCCCAGAGGCATGCATGAGGTCTGAGAGTGAGAGACGCACCCTGGACGGTGACGTCTCTGGCAAGGACACCAACGCTCGACCACCCTGGAATGCAGATCGGCACCTGGAGCACCGTCCCGGGATGTGGACAAGCGACCAAGTGTGGAGGATTGTGGGTTGCCCTCTCCTCCCCCATGTGAGTGGTGCAATTTCGGTGCTGGTGCCTCTGCGTCTTGTTAGGGCCTTGGGCCGAGGAGGGCGTGGCGTGTCCAAGGAGCGGAGCTGTGCCAGGGGGCGGCGGAGAGACTGGCGGTGTGCGCAGCAGCCAGCGGGCGAGGGGATGATGCTGGAGCCATGGTGGCAGCACACAGACGGGTTGCTGCAGGAGGTCGACTTTGTGCCTGACAGCCAAAGGACAAGGTGGAGCAGACTGGGTCCCAGCTACGTGGGTCAACACGGGTCAGCTGGAGCCAAGAGGTGGCTCCTTGTACTGGACACTGTCCCGCCCCTGGTGCTGCAAAGCAGGGGCGTGTCCAGGGAGTTCCCTGGGGTAGCACATGCCACCCTTGGAATCTGATTGGCCACCCCAGGTGCCACCACACTAAATTACCTTTAAATAGGCTTTTCATTGTCCACAAAAGGCTTGGGGGTAAAACAAAAAAAGCATAACCATTGGTGCCACCCATGCACAAAGTTGTGCCTCACCTGGGCCACCCCATTTTAAAAGATCTGGGCACGCCACTGCTGCACAGGAAGTTTTAGACCGTTTTTAGGACTGCTTTTATGTATTTTTTCACTCCTTCAGCCTCTAAAGACTTGAACTTTTAGCGTTGTTTTTGCTCCTCCAAATAAATGATCCGTTTGTGTGTTAAGTGGTTCCCCTGCCTGTTCTTTGGACCATGAGTCCCCTTGTATCCGGAACCTGCAGCCGTGGACGGGCTGCTGTGGGGTGACATCTAGAGGACATAGAGACCCACACAGCACCACAAAAGGAAGTGAAATGTAATGACATGGACCCGCCACAGACACACTAAAGAACGCCCGGCTCCACTTAAAGCATCATCAAATACAAGAGGAAGGAAAGACAGTTCAGGGTGGACAGGTGTGGACTCGTCTTTAGTACGACCTGTGTGGGAACCGGCAGCCAGGCGGCACTGGTAAAAGCACTGCAGGAGGAGCCAGCCCACTCTGTGGCTCGGCCAACCCTGTAGCACCCCGGCTATGACATCATTGAGACTGAGGAGGGGAACTCTGCCCTGAGAAGTCAGGTACGCCAGCGTGAAGCAGGTCTTTTCCATCTCAGACTGAAGGAAACACAGAAAACGTCCGTCTGAGTTTGATTCATAACACCGCTACAGAAAGTATAAAAAAAAGTGGAAGACATTTAACCGTGTTGGTGAGGTCATACCGCAGAAACGTGAGCGATCCTGTCGATCTCCGTGTCTGACATCTCAGACAGACACTTGGCGACGCCCACATACAACTCCACCTCGGCATCCTGCAACACACACGCCAAGCGTCTGAGCAGAGAGGAAAACCTTTCCAAACCAGAAATGTTCACGAGGAAACAAACCAAGCGATCACCTGGATGTGGTTGGGTAGCACTTTGAAGACCTTCTCCGTGGTGGAGCAAAGTATGGTCCAGCAGTGGTTGCGGGGGTTAGGGAGGGCCATGGCCTGAGTGAGGCCCTTCAGCAGAGAGTGGCACAAAGACAGTCGCTGGGGTCGAAGGTCATCCTGGAACTGCTGCAGACCAAAACTCTCCACGTAAAACTGGAGCTTGTCCTCAGCCACGTGCTTCATCCACAGACCCAGGGTCTCATACAGGTGGGCTTGAGTCTGGAGCTGATCAAAGGGAAACACTCAGCTGCTACAGTTACCTGCAGCCACTGCCAACCTCTGACCTCTGACCTCTGTTTAAACAACGCAGCGAAACAGACCTGAGTCACTGGCAGCAGGGCTTCCTAGATACCGTTTCATTAGATTCAAACATTTGGTTCACAATCCAAACACAAAGGTGATTAACCGTCTTCTGAATCCATTCTGGATCAAGCTGGAGTGCAGGGGTGGACTGGCCTATCTGGCATTCTGGCACTGTCCCGGTGGGCCGCTTGCCCAGCTTGGGCCGACACGACTCCACAGTTGGTGATCTGCAGAGCATTAGCTACATGGTAACCCGACGCTAACAGAGTTTTTCCTGGCGTTTTTAGCGAGAAAATTGCGGTAGAGCGATGACGTAGGAGTTGTTTTACCGCGTTAGCATGTAGCTAATGTCCCGCTGATCTCCGCCTTTGGAGAATGAGCTGATCTGGAAGGTCAGGGCTCCCGGTCACAGCGGTCTGGCCCTGCTTGTAATTTAACAGTCCCAGTCCATACTAGATCTCACATTCGGCCTAGAGACGAGTCCGCGGGCGGCAACACCCCCACCCCCACCGCTCTCCTAATGGAGAGGGCCGACGATTCGTAAAAATACCTGGGCCGAATTTTGGTCCCGGTCCACCCCTGCTGGAGTGGCTTCCATTGCGGGAGACGCTGGCAGAATAAACTAATGCTTGCTGATAGGTGACCTCAGGTGAGAGGAGGGAAAAGGAAACTTACACTGAGACTGTGCACGAGGGGGGGTGACAGCCAGGAGCCGAGGAAGAGAGAGGCACTTTGTGAGGAATGAGCTTGAGACGCCGCCAGAACCATACACTGATGCTGAACAACCCCTCCTGTCAGAGACAACCAGGCTCAGATCCTACTGACTAGCTCTGTCACACAACGAGACTCCAGAGTGTTCTCTTACCAAAGCTTAATCTCATTAGAGGAGACAGGACAGCGCTCCAGTTAACCGGAGGATACTGGAAGCTGAGTCCTACCGAAGCCAGCGAGGTCAGAGCCGTCTCAACCAGAACTGGACGGGAGAACTCTGGACCTGGGTCCAAAGGGAGGGCAGAAGGTCGGCTGTAATGCATGGTTAATGATGAAGCATGCACCCCCCACTACCACCACCCACACACACGGATGCACACTCACACACACAATCAGGAATTCTGGGTAAACACACCTTTTTTCCCAGATTCTGTGATGAAGTCAATTATGGATCTGATGACACTTTTCTCTGAGAGGTAACTGAAATCTTGAGGAACTAATTGGGTGAAAAAAGAGGCAAATGAATAAATTAGAGGATAAATGGAGTTCAGCTCAACTACTATGACCACCAGCCTAATATTAACGAGCTACCAGTACAGCCTGAGCCCAGTGGTGGCTCACCACCGGAGCTCCGCTGTGGTTTGGTACCAAACATCACATCTCACGCATGCTGGATTGTTTTGACATCTGAAGAATTTCAAGACAGAATTTTCAAGGATTTTCAACCATGAATGAAGGTGTTTCTGATGTGCTTGATAGCAGCCGGTGTGTTCTGCCTTTCTTCTGCCATGTGACTTTTAAAGACACGACCGGAAGAAGTGAGTTTAATCTTCAGAGGGGGAGGAAGTGAATAGCCTGGCCTGCCAGACTCGACCTCTGGTTAATTCTGCAGAGAGAGAGAGTCTGATAACTCACAGGCAGAGAGGCATGTGGGGGGCGGGACTAGGCAGCTCAAAAATAACCAATCAGAAAAAAGGCGGAAATGCCGACAGTACTGCACGACGCTGTAGTTTTTTAGCTGTAGTTAAAAAAAAAGGCACACGGCGAAGGCGCGAACATCTTTATTTATTTATTTATTTTTTGCAGAAAGGCTTTTAGCGCTCCTGCTTGTTGTGGTTTTAAAGACGTGTCCAAGTCATTTAGAACACAGGAAAGAGCCGCAGCGAACGCCGCTTCAGTCGCCACGTTTAAGACAAACTCGGCGTTGTGGTGTGTGACGTACGCTACTCAGCGCTGATTGGCTCATTTAGAATTCTCAGGGGGCGGGGTTATTTGAACAGGAGAGTTCCCAGACCCTTTCTCTGTGCAGAGTTAACCAGAGGAGGAGTCTGGCAGGCCAGGCTAGAGAGTGAACACCATGACAAAACGAGCGCACCTATAAATGGGGAAAGGACTACATTATTCTAAAAATAATAATATTTTGTTTACAACATTGTTTTTGTGATGGTTTGAAGCCAAAGCCTAAGTGGACTTTTGTATGGCTCTAAAAAAAACCTCCAGCTGATAATCAGGAGGGATCAACCAATCTGATCCTTCATCCGCTTCATGAATGCGTTACTGTGAAACCTTTTCCCCGGTCTGTGAACTCACCTTAAAGGGACTTTACGGACTTTAGAATTTTTATGCTCGCTATCGCCCCCTCAGGCCAAAAGCGTAATGGCAGCTTCAATAGTGGGCTCGTGCACGAGGCGCGCATGCTGTACGTGCACACTCCTTAACAAAAATAACAGCTGAGATAGAGCACAGAGCTCTATATAATGTGGTTCTGTACCTTTCTCTTCAGCACAGCCGACAAAGGTTTATGATGGGTCAGTCGTCCTGCATGCTCAGATCATTCCCTTCCCTTGCTTGAAAAATTGTTCCAAAATGAAAGTTGAACCCACATCTTTTTTATCTGTGAATTCAATGCCGTTCGGCGAGTCTCAAATAAAAATTTGTGCATCTTACTGTAAAAAATATACCATTAATGTAAAAAAGAAACTCTAAATGAACTAAGTTCACATCCAGAATCAAACCCAGGTCTTCTCACGAGAGTCCGACGTCTTACTAGGTGAGCTAAAGTGCCAGTGAGGTTTTTGGTATCTGTAACATTTATATCCTTGATGACAGCTGAAACAACGTTCAAAGAACGGTTCGGAGTGAAAATGGCTATTTTTTTGCTAATTTGCAGGAAATATCTATAAGAAAGTTGTACAGAAAGTAGCTAAGGGTCCTCAGAAATGTAGCTAGCTTTGTCACTAGGCGTTAGGAACAGCGACAAAGTGGCACTGCCTCTCTCTCTGCTGCTAAAGCTACGGATAGCAAATGCTACGGGCGATGCCTGAGCGTGAACGCGCATGAAGCAGCCTGCTCGACCCGAGCATCTCTCTTTTTCTGTGATTTTACAGAAAAACAGGCAATCACAGTAAAAATGCCAGGGCTCATTCTACAGGACCAGGGCATTGCAGGAGAATGTATGAAGAAGACATTTATTATTTCTATACACGTTTTGGCCGTCAAACTTCCATTATGTCGCTTTAACTAAACACTCATTCATGTTCGCAACAATCAGAAAGTGAAAAGTTATTTTCTGTTACGATTAGCTCTGAGACGGATCTGAACCAGCTGAACGCGGTGCTGACAGCTTCCAGCTATGCGAGCATCACAAATCAGCCTCTGGGTCGGTGCGTCTCTAGGAGGTGGGAGCTGTGACATCACTGGTTCGTTCTGAGTTTCAGTTACAGCTTCAAAAACTTTCATGAATTAGTTTCAAAATTCAAACTCCTTCAAAAACTTGAAAATACAATTTAAGGATTTTCAGGGATTTGAAGGACCTGCAGGAGTTCTGTTATTAGATCCAAGAAAACCAAGAGTCAAAGCTTTATTATTCCTTTAAAACGGACACAGCCCGGAGTAATAAATGATCCCAAATGCCCTGAACGGTCCTGACTGACCTGCTGTGTGACTGTGACTGGTAGACACATGAGCCAGATACAGATGACCAATCAGACAGGCACAGTTGGACTGCAGACCAATGGCTGCTGAGAAGGTTATGATCTACAAGAAAGAGCAGAAAACGGTAAACATTACAGATTTCTGAGACGTGGTCCCAGTTCAGAAACCAAACATCTGAATATCACCTGTGTGATGGCACGAATGACCTCATTCAGTCTGCTCTGCTGCTGGGAGGAGAGCTCCATCTCCAGCTTCATCTGCAACAATACAAAGCACAGTCTCTTCCACAGCTGATATAATATCCATCTTTATAACACGTTCTAGAGTCTTCAAACTCCCCAAGGTAACAGTCATTCACCCAAATAAGCATTCATTCAGACAGTGGTGGTGATGAGCCACAATGTAGCCACAGCAGCGGTAGGGCTAACTGGTAGGTATGAGCCAGATACTCGTCTCAGACAAGTATCCGGTACGGATACAGCATTTTTGACGAGTACGAGCATGAAACGAGTAAAACTCGTAAATATCTGTAATCATGCTGAAGGATGAACTTCGAGAGGTTGCAGGCGCATCAGTGAGTTTGCGGCCGCTGCGCAGGGGGAGGGGGGGGAGGGCTGAAGCAGGATGCAGAAACTACCGTTGTTAAAAGAAATGTGTTTAACTTTGAAAATGTGGGCGCAATTTTAATTGTCAAAAACTCCAGCGAACCATTAGTTCATTTTACTCAAATAGAAATTGAGGCCTGCCTCTAATTCTGACCCTCCTTCCAATAAAAGCCTGGAGCTTGATGAGCTTGAGTCAAATACAGGCCCGGGCCTGTATTAGAGGATTTATGGTATTATATAAAAATTAGTGGTGTTAGATTGCTGCCGTCCAGCCTAACCAGGTCTACCAGGACCAGAGATGCTGATGCTCTAATAAACCCAACGCTTCCTCTCACACTCACCTGGATGAGGTGATTCTCGGATCCCACCAAAGCCACCAGGCCGCTGGCAGCAGCCAGTCGCTGCATAGTGGGACAGCCCTGAAACACAAAGGCAGATTCGCTACACACACACACACACACACACACACACCAAAATGTGAAGCTTTTTAACTGGACGAACATAATCCTGTATTTGATGTACCTCTGCCAGTAGGATCTTGATCCAAGCAGCCAGCAGACGAGGGTGGATGTCTTCAGCTTTACCGTGGCCGGACACCGACAGGCCGTGAACCACCAACCCCAGAGCCAGAGAGAAGCCAGGGGTCTGTACACAGTGGGTGAGCTTTAACGTGTCGTAATTACACTTTATACCTGTGTAATTACACTTAATACATGTGTAATTACACTTTATACGTGTGTAATTACACTTAATACATGTGTAATTACTCTTTAGACCCCACTTTATTAAATACATTCTGGCGGTTATCGCTGGGACATTATTTCTGTAATGTAAGCTGAAATCAGCCACAGTGTTATGACCACTGGTGAGGGAAATGGAGACACGGACTATCAGAGGTCTACAGCAGAGGGCAGCTAGCAGGAAGAGGGTAGTGCAACAAATTTTTAAGACCTGGAACATTCCAAGTGTCAGGATCACAGCAACACATCCTTTCATCTCTAAGCATCTTGATACTGATGAATCGCTGACCTCGTCGACCGCTGACCTGCTGATTAGGGTTGGTTTAGTCCTGTAAGCTAGCTACCTTCTGCTAAAAGTTGAAATCCAAACAAGCGTAGTTTGTCCGGTGTTTAGCACCAACACGTCTCCCGAACCACTCAGTGGATCTTCTTGAAGCTTTCAGGATGTAATCACTGCAGCTTTATCTAAAGATGACTCACTTTAGGAGTCAATCCAACATTATGTCCACCAAGCCCACAACAAAAGGACCAGAACTCAGCCATTTAACAAATATTGAGCTGAGGGTTCGTATGCAGAAATCACAAGAACTTCCTTTTACAGCTAGATCATTTCTACACTTAAGGTGATCAATGCTGACAGGACAGGGGATGGACAATGAGCATTGCATTAATAAATAACGACGTTCAGAGCTAAAACAAACAGTAGTGGGCACACACACACACCAGCACTGACCTGCTGGCTCTCCTCAGTCAGTGTGCGCAGAGTACTCATCACCTCCTCAGCCTTAGCAGCATCAATAAGACCTCCACTGAAGGCAGAGACACTCACACACGCCACAGAGTACGACAACACCTGGATAGGACATTCAAACCTTCACATTTGATTTTGCTGTAAAATGAAGTTTTAAACACAGGGATGAGAAAATCAGCACCTGATGCCACTACCGCCTCCCCTCAAACTCATTCATGAGAGAAACGGGACCAAACATCCATCAGATGGCCCCCACAGATTTGAGTTAAAGGTTTAAACTCACTTTAGTTTTTACATATTATAAATAACAATAAACTGTGAGGATTCACAGATTTTAAATCAAACATGCACGGTTTGGGACCTTCTGAGCTGTGAACTGGAAACATCACTGCTGCAGAACGTTGCCGTTTAGATTTGTTCCAGTTTAATTGTGCATGAATACTAAAGCGTAGTTGGTGCTAGGGGTTGTATGAACTAGTCGACTTCACGGCTCTGTTGTGACTTTTTATGCCTGTCATCGACTAGTCGCTGTCACGTGATAACGACTGACAAGAGGCAGTCCTCGGAAAAGACAGCAGGTGACGAGCCCCTCCTGTGCGTCGGGAGGCGACGCGCTGTGCCAGAGCGTCGGTACTGACACCCGCCGTAAAACGGACATTTAACCAAATTGTGACCTTTACCCTCTTGCAATTTAACCTTCCCCTCACCCCCCATCCTAACCTTAACCAGCTTGTGCGTGCAAAGCTCTGATCGTTGACGCGCTCCAGACATCTGCGTCCTGAGCACGGCCACAGTAACATTATCAAATCAGGTGTCGCCACCTCAAAAACAAATTTAACACATGATCGTTCATGTCAGCTCATTTCCTCTAATGTTTTCTGTCTTTTATTTGTGCCTGATGCGTTTCGCTGTGGAGCGAGGCGCATCACCTGTTTTGTCCTCCGGTGACGCACCTCACTGATGCGGCTGGCGAGCACTCCGCTGTTTTAGCGGTCGGTAGATCTTTTAGAACTGCAGTTCAAAGGTAACTCATAAGGTGAATATATATGAACCAAGGTAGCAGTTTTTCTTTAGGACTGAGAGGAGATGCAGGAAGATAATAAACAGGCAGGACAGAAAAATAGTCAAATAAAAACAAGTTAGTTTTTGTACCTGCTGGTTGCAACAAACAGACACCATTGAAGGTAATCAGAAGTGAGGAACAAAAGATGAAATAATTATTTTAATGTTTAGAGCAGCAGGAACTCCGAGAGGCTGCAGGCGCATCAGTGAGTTTGCGGCCGCTGTGCGGGGGTGGGGGGGTGGGGGGTGGGGGTGGGGGTGGGGGGTTGAAGCAGCGGGGGGGGGGGGGGGGGGGGGGGGGGGGCTGAAGCGGAGCAGTAAAGATGCAGAATCTACCGTTGTTAAAAGAGATGTGTTTAACTTTTAAAATGCGGGCGCAATTTTAATTGTCAAAAATTCCAGCGAACCAACCCCCCCGCCGCTTCAGGTGTATGGCGTCATCAACGACTCGTCAAAGTCGACTCGATTTTCATTACTTGACTGTCGACTTTAAAAAAATTAAGTCATGCAGCCGCTAGTTGGTGCAGATATCCATCAACACATCTACATGACATTTATTTGTGGTCAGACAAACACAGCGACTGTCTAACAGACCTTCACAGAACGGTGATGGGATTTATTCTGTGAGCACGCTGCGGCTCAAAGCGTTTGTTGAGCTGATCAGGATCATGCATGAACCAAGCACACACACAATATCTGACGGTAGAAACCTTTTCCACCTCACTCCACCTTCCTGTCTAATCATGATTTTCTACAGCTTCCTTTCCGTTGGTGACACCTAGTGGGAATGCTGGGAAACTGATGAACTACATCCACGTATTTCATCAGTAATAATAGGATGCAGCCTTCCATTCGTACATGACCTGTACAACTCCAGGGTTTGGAAACGTGCTGGTCAGATAACAGCTGACCCCTCTCACCCTGGTCATGGACTGTTTGAAACCCTACCTTCAGCGAGGAGGCTCAGGTCCTTAAAGACCAGAACCTCACGCCACTAAAACAGCTTCTTCCCATCTGCTGTAAGGCGCCTGAACAACCGCTTTTCTTCCTGGCACTCGAGGAGTACAGACGCTTCTCTTTTCGCTCCCTTATCTTTTTTTCCCAAGGCTTTTTGTCCTGTCTGCTCACAGAGCGCTTCTCTGCATTTCTTCTGAAAAACCCTATTTTTACTAACCATGGATTTGATGAATTGGTCATTCAATGCGATCGATAAGATTTGTTCAACAATGAGAACGGAGCAGGGGGCTCCCACATGTCCACGGGGGACACACCCGGTGGGATATATGCTGGATTCCTGGAGGGGGTGGAGGATCGTATGCCTCTCCCAGCTGTCCATTGAGGATGTCGAAGACGTGTGGATATTCGGCCTGATGATCACTGGATTTCTCCTGAGTGGAGTGGGAAGATATCTGGTTTCCTGGAAATTTGGGAAGACGGGAGCAATTGGAGGGCGACCCGCATCCACAGAAAGCACCGTCTGTATGGAGACTTCTCAGACTGGGACGTTACTCGAGGTGAATCGTAAGCTGGACAATGTTCTAGCTGCGTTACCGGTATTAGTGCGCAAAATGGATGTCACCTCAGAGGGAGTCACCGGACGGAATGGACAGGTTTAAAAACCCAAAATTGGCTTCACTGAAGGACTGGAATGATCAGTTTAAAGACTGAAGACAGAGAGGAAAATTATCTCAGCCTGACCCAAACAAATTCTTGTTATCTGAATCTGACGCCCTGGTAGCCTTGAGCGGCTAGCAACAAATCCCCACAAAGGAATGCAGACAGATGCTGTGAAAACCCAAACTACCCCCCCTTCAGATTGGTGGACTCCAGCCAGGCGAGGTCATCAACCTGCAGGAGTCAATGTGCTCTGCGCTTCTCCCAAGATCTCCCTCCCACCTGTGACTGTACAGCAGATGAGCTGGGCAAAACAGGACACCCCCCCCCCCCCCCCCATTGGAGTCTCATGTTGTGTTGTCTGAAGTCTGTTGCATATCTGTTGAGGTGTTTTTTTGCAGAGCAAAGCTGCCCTCCCTGTGGAGGGTAACTTTGAAGTGCCTTTTTTTCCCTCCACCTGAACCAATCCTCATGTAGCCCTCTTATCTCTATTAAGGTAGCGCGACTCAGGGTTGCGAATGACCACAGTCACCAATTCTTGTCATGTGTCTTGCCCATGTATGTCTGATCTCTGAGGTGTGTGTACTGAAACTTTAATTTCCCTCTGGGATTAATAAAGTATCTTTGATTGATTGATTGATTGATTAATTGAATGGCCAAAACACACACCCCGGTGACCCACATTCCAACACTTATGACTGCTTTCTGGCTATGTTTCTTTTCTAATGATCTGATGTATCCTAATGTAAATACTGCCTGACCTGACTTGGACTTGAATGTATGTTTGCACCTCGTCACTGAAACAAATTCCTAGTAGATGAGCCTCTCGCCTACATGGCAATAAATCTGATTCTGAAGTAACATGAGCCAAGTGCAGCAGGAAGTCCTTTTAGCAACATAAACTCACTCAAAACAGCTTTTAGTAATAAAACGTCATTCAGCTGTGGCTTTAAGACGCGTAACGTTGTCCCTTTGAGGATCTACGGCTCTACAGTTTTGTCGGTGTGATGCAGATGGTGAGAGATGCGTCTGTACCTCCTGCAGCATCCGGTTTTGGCCGCTGCTGTCCTGCAGGTTGGCCAGGAGTTTGTCAAGGTTTTGCGTGATGTGGACACGATGACCAACATGTCCACTACCACAAAGGGCTGAGAGAACGAGACCCAGGCCCAACACGCAGCCGGTGCTGAGGAACAGAGGGGAAAACGCTCAGCTGGGTTTCAGAACAAACAAACTTATAACGAGTCTCAGTGAAACATCCAAACAGATTTAAGGTTTATGTTGTTCTAGAACATTAAAAGAGTGTTTGCTGCTGAAGCTGGGACACAGGGACTGACTTGTACTCCAAGTTGGGGTTAAAGGAACAACTTTCCAGAACTTGTAGAGAACTGAAGAGCAGATCCATGTCCTTCTGAGCAGAAACATCACTGAGACAGAGACAAACTGATGAGTCACTTTAAGCGTTTTGAGTTAGTAGCGTTCGTTCACAGACCCGGTACCTGAGGCGTTGGTGCTGCAGACTGGACAGAACCAGGCCAAGAGCAAGACCTGAATGGAACTGGACAGCCTGGGAGTCATCAGCGGCCGGTGAGCCTGGCAGGCAGGCCTGCAGAGCTGAGAGAACTTGGACCAGACCATCCTTTTTCCACACCACCAGCACAGGAACAAGCAGGGACAAGGCCAAGCTGGCACAGGACCGAGCGATGGCGCTCGCTGTGTTCTCACCTGAGTAGGAGCGCTGAGGAGGAGAAAACAACCCTCAGCTGCTGCTTGGAGGCTCATTGCCCATCAGGAATATCACCATGTCCTTTGGCTATGATATAGTAACGTGTTCATTACATGAAGGGTTAGGCAGCACCCCACCCTGCAGCATCACACCGTACCCTCCACAAGACATTTGTAGTCACCAGTTCACACCCAGAGACTTCACCACTAACGTTTCAGATACCCCAGGCGAGGAGAAACATCACACAAGCGTTATTGGATAGTCAGCACCTTTACACCCCTCGAATATGTTTCGTGTTTTTTATTATGAACTGCACATAATCCTACGACTAAACATATCTCTGGTGCAATAACATGCACTTGTGCTTTTTTCCCAGGTCAATTTGCACTTTATTTTGTTTTGCACGCACTCTGTGTGTCTTATACCTGCGGAGGTTTTGTAAAAGACCCAGCGACCCCCAGAGGGGGTCCCGGGTTCAATTCCCGGACGAGCCCCCACTCTTTTACATCCCTCGGCTTCGCTAGGAGCACGATGTATTTTAGGGAGTAAAGAAGATGTTGTACGGGAATGAAACAAACACTTAAAATTCTCTAAAGGATATTTATTAACACAAAACAGCACTCTGGGCTGAAAAGGAAACAAAAGGGTCATCCACGACTGGGTATTAATAAACAAAAGGAATTTCCCAATAAAAACGATATCTAATAATAAACTAAAGTCGCAGCACAAAGACTGGAATAAGGCTAAACGGTAAACACAAAATCTGCACCAAAAGGGTGAGCAAAGTCTCTCTGTAACGAGGAAACACGAGTTACTATTAATATTACCAAACTCAAAATACCACTCAGGTAACAAAACGAAGAAATACCACTCAGGTAGCGAACAGAGACTTTAACGTCTGTAAAGCGAGGAGAGCTAGATAGGAGAGCAAACACCTCCGTGTCAACACCCATCTGAACATCTCTCCCAGAATGATAGGAAGCCTTCCCTTTTAACAGGGAGGCATAATTGAACTAACAGCCTGCAGCTGCGCAGGCAGGGGACCGAGGGCCTCTTGTGGCCAAAAGGAGACCGTGCACGTCACAGTAGCTAATTATGTTACTATATAAAATAAATGTACTGAGGCTCAAAGCTGTAACTGCAAATATGCAGAACAAGCTCACAGAACCGTATCCCCTTCCGTCGGCTATCACGACTAGGACACCCCCCCTCTGATACGGGAACCCACATTGCCAGAGGAAACGAGATAGAGCGGAACACCAGTCGCCGTTTTATAGTTCCAAACGTCTTTTGTTGTTCGCGACGTCAAATGGTGTTTTTCTTTAGGGAGCTCTGGTAAGCTTGTCCTAAAGCTTAAAGGGGAACAAGGCAGTTCTGGCTCGTTTTTAGCACCCCTAGTGTCTGTTTGTAGAACTGTAACCAAAGCCCATCTCCTCGCTGTGCGTTTGTCTTTTTAACGTCCAAGGCCCGATCTCAATACTCGCACTGCGCCCTGCGGACTTCAGCAAAGTGCATTTGGAGACAATGTGCAGTAGGGCTCGAGTGCGTAGCACACAAGTGTGCAAATAACTGCAGAGCTGAGACAGGGAGAATTGCGCCATCGATCACAATGCATGCCGTGATGCTGGTCGCTTTGCAATTTTTTTCCAAAACCTTTTAAACAAACAGCCAAACAATTATTTATTGTCTGTATGTTGATATCTCTAAGAACAACTCAGTTAGCTGCAAAACATCATTTCCCACACCGAACGTGCTTCTCTCTCTGAAAGAAACCTTCTGATATTCATTCACGCATCCAAAAACTCGTATTTTTATTTTAGCTTTCATTCAGTCACAGGTTTGCCTTCAAAACAAGTTTTAATATCAAATTGTCTGTTAAAATTGTCATTTCTAAATTGTCACTTTTTAAAAAGTGTTAGTAATGAATTCTTAACTTTAAAAACTTGACTCTCTTCTTGAAATTAAACACAGAATGGTGCGTATTTCTGGTTATTGAAAAAGCAAAGATTCCTTTAAAATTCTGATTAAATAAATAAACTTTTGCTATTAAATTTAATTATCTTAAATTAAACATTAATCTTTGGATTAAAAATAGACCAAGCTTGTTGGCATGTGAACTTCTATCGAATATATAATATCCTAGATATTTATACAGGGAGTGCAGAATTATTAGGCAAATGAGTATTTTGTCCACATCATCCTCTTCATGCTGTATAGGCTCGAAAGCCTACTACCAGTTAAGCATATTAGGTGATGTGCATCTCTGTAATGAGAAGGGGTGTGGTCTAATGACATCAACACCCTATATCAGGTGTGCATAATTATTAGGCAACTTCCTTTCCTTTGGCAAAATTGGTCAAAAGAAGGACTTGACAGGCTCAGGAAGGTCAAAAATAGTGAGATATCTTGCAGAGGGATGCAGCAGTCTTAAAACTGCAAAGCTTCTGAAGCGTGATCATCGAACAATCAAGCGTTTCATTCAAAATAGTCAGCAGGGTCGCAAGAAGCGTGTGGACAAACCAAGGTGCAAAATAACTGCCCATGAACTGAGAAAAGTCAAGCGTGCAGCTGCCAAGATGCCACTTGCCACCAGTTTGGCCGTATTTCAGAGCTGCAACATCACTGGAGTGCCCAAAAGCACAAGGTGTGCAATACTCAGAGACATGGCCAAGGTAAGAAAGGCCGAAAGACGACCACCACTGAACAAGACACACAAGCTGAAACGTCAAGACTGGGCCAAGAAATATCTCCAGACTGATTTTTCTAAGGTTTTATGGACTGATGAAATGAGAGTGAGTCTTGATGGGCCAGATGGATGGGCTTGTGGCTGGACTGGTAAAGGACAGAGAGCTCCAGTCCGACTCAGACGCCAGCAAGGTGGAGGTGGAGTACTGGTTTGGGCTGGTATCATCAAAGATGAGCTTGTGGGGTCTTTTCGGGTTGAGGATGGCGTCGAGCTCAACTCCCAGTCCTACTGCCAGTTTCTGGAAGACACCTTCTTCAAGCAGTGGTACAGGAAGAAGTCTGCATCCTTCAAGAAAAACATGATGTTCATGCAGGACAATGCTCCATCACACGCGTCCAAGTACTCCACAGCGTGGCTGGCAAGAAAGGGTATAAAAGAAGAAAAACTAATGACATGGCCTCCTTGTCCACCTGATCTGAACCCCATTGAGAACCTGTGGTCCATCATCAAATGTGAGATTTACAAGGAGGGAAAACCGTACACCTCTCTGAACCGTGTCTGGGAGGCTGTGGTTGCTGCTGCACGCAGTGTTGATGGTGAACGGATCAAAACACTGACAGAATCCATGGATGGCAGGCTTTAGAGTGTCCTTGCAAAGAAAGGTGGCTATATTGGTCGCTGATTTGTTTTTGTATTGTTTTTGAATGTCAGAAATGTATATTTGGGAATGTGGAGATGTCATATTGGTTTCACTGGTAAAAATAAATAATTGAAATGGGTACATATTTGTTTTTTGTTAAGTAGCCTAATAATTATGCACAGTAATAGTCACCTGCACACACACAAATCCCCCTAAACTAGCTAAAACTAAAAAAAAATACAAACTACTTCCAAAAACATTCAGCTTTGACATTAACGAGTTGTTTGGGTTCATTGAGAACATGGTTGTTGTTCAATAATAAAATTATTCCTCAAATATACAACTTGCCTAATAATTCTGCACTCCCTGTATACGATAGAAGCTTCATTGTCAACTTGTTTGGATCTTTTCTCAGAATCTAACAACGCTGATAGCAAACAGTGTTGATTCTAGTATGAAGGTTAACAACGCTACACAGAGTCAGGACTCCAAAGTGCTTTACACTACGGTGCATCATTCACCCATTCACACACACATTCACACACTGATGGTGACGAGCTACGATGTAGCCACAGCTGCCCTGGGGTGGTCTGACAGAGGCGAGGCTGCCGAGCACAGGTGCCACCAGTCCCTCCGACCACCACCAGCAGGCAAGGTGGGTTAAGTGTCTTGCCCAAGGACACAACAGCAGAATTCTCTGTCCGGAGCCGGAATCGAACCTGCAACCTTCCAATTACTGGACAGGCCACTCAACCTGTTACGCTACTGCTGCCTTATATTAGCCTCATGACTCACGTTTATAAGGATTTACTTTAATGAATGAGTGAATGTGATATAGCGCCATCTAGGATTCTGCAACGAATGGGACTTTGTTTGATTAAAGTTTTGATGTGACCAACTAAAGAAGGAGAGAAGCACTGAGAGACCTGACGTAGAGGACTTACATGCAGGAACCAGGGGAACACTTGTCCACCGGCCTTGTAGCTGCTACTGATGATGCTGAGCAGGGTGTCCAGCACCATGGACAACCAGCTAGCAGTGGGCACGAACTCTGGTCCGGCCTGCAGGGACAGATCCATAACATGCCTTTATTTATCTGGCTCCAGTAATGACTTCACTTAACTAAAAGTCTTCATCAGCAGGAAATAAAGTCTCACCCCGAGGCTGCCGTTGCTGTCGGAGGGCAGGTTACTTTCGTACTGAGCCAGGACAGCAGCCAGGGCACTCAGAGCGAGGATGGAGTTTCCCTGAACAACCGGACTGTCCCTGAGGAGCAGACGAACCCAGCTGTGAGCTTCGTGGTTTATTCCAGCGTGGATCAATAGTTACTAGTCAGGGACTCACTTTGTAGCAGCCTTGATGACATCTGCCAGCTGATCTCGAGCCCTGAGAAAGGACAGAATGATGAAGAGTGAAAGGAAGGAAGGCAGAGACTCACTTCAGATCAGAGGACCAGGCACCTGCTGCATACAGAACCACGCATGGGAGTGTCATTTAGGACAAACTACGATACGGTGATTCATTCGTATTTTCACACTAAATAAAAAAGGCATTATTTATATGATCAAACATGTTACCATGGAGACTGTCTACATTTGTGTGTAACTTTTTAAATAATAAAGTACATCATCCGACTAAATGACCTGACCTGATTAGACCCGTTTGTTGGATGTTACGTTTTTATTATGTTTCTATCAGAGACGAGCCTTTATTTCCAGTATGACAGGTTTCAGCGAGGCTTGTCCTATAATCTGCCACATGTGTGTAAAACCGCAGCACGAGCACCGACTGGAATACGTTTTAAATAGTTTGCTTTCTGAGGCCAGAGTTGGATTAATAAACTGATCAGTCTGATCTGTTCTTCGTATTATCAGAGATGAACATCGCATATTTACACAAATCTTGACATGAAAGCAGAGAAAACCAACAGCTTTGACATTATGGTTTTGAAACCAGATCACGTGATTTGCTCCTTTGGTCAAAGCGAGCGAGCGAGCAGTGTGAGGGCCCAGAGCCCGAGTGTGAGCCTCACCACAGCCAGGCGCAGTGCTGTTGGTACTGCAGCTCTTGATGATTTCCTTTGTCTTGCTTCTGTTGCATTTTCAGATCAGCCCGTCGACCCTGGTCATGACAAACACCCTTGACTCACAGAACATCCAGTTCCCTCTACAGTTTCCTCCGTCTAAACTACACAGGACCAGATCAATCCTGAGGAACCTGAAAATCATCTCCACATGGTCAAATGTCCTGGTTCTGCTAAGGTTCTTTATTGGTTTACTGTTCACTTCTGAGCTGCAGGAATCTTGGTTCCTTTACAGCAAGATAAGCTCAACAATATTTTGAATTGTCCCGTTTGGAGCACCAACCTGCAGGGCTGCGTGGAAAGCTCGGCTGACAAACGCTCTCCATGCCTGGGGCAGAAGAAGAGCCCGGTGCCACTCAGACGGCTGAATGTTTACCTAAACACCAACAGGAGTGAGAAGGGAGGTATGGTAACTATTGGGGATTTCCAGCTCGACTGTGCACAGTTTTTCAATTACGGGCTCATCACAGCAGGGGAGGCAAACCAACACAAAGCACGAGGTAACGGAGAAGGAAGTGACGCGCCACCATCAGCGTCAGCCTGAAGAAGCCGGCAGCCGTCGGCGAAACCGTAGCTACAAACAGGTAAACAAAACTGTTTCTGTGTTTAAAAAAGAACGAAAGCATGGATTTAGAAAGACACAGCAAGAACACACCTAAGATGTTCAATGAGGTGACCTGTACCCAACTCAGAAGTAGCAAGAGATCTGTATGCAACACAAAAACAACAAAAATAATGGTGGGCATTAGGGATGAGCAATATGGCCTCAAATCTGTCTCTAACTTGAACATGCTGTAAGGATCAAAGGAACAATTAAATCCTACCTGTCTGACAGATTTCATTTTGTAAATGTGCATGACAAATCTTCATACTCCAGCGTTACTTGTGGAGTACCACAGGGTTCAGTGCTTGGACCAAATATATATGCTCCCAATTGGTAAAATCATTAGACAGCATGGGATAAACTTCCACTGTTATGCTGACGATACTCAGTTATATTTATCCATTAACCCTGATGAACCTTATCGGTTGGGTAGATTACAGGCTTGTCTTGAGGACATAAAAAATTGGATTACTCTAAACTTCTTGCTTTTAAATCAAGACAAGACGGAAGTTCTCATCTTTGGACCACAAATCCAGAAAAGGAAATTGCTTAGTCAATCAACTGACCTGAATGGCATTACATTAATCTCCGAGAACAAAGTAAGGAACCTTGGTGTTATCTTTGACCAGGACATGTCATTCAAATCCCAGGTTAAACAAGTTTTAGGATTTCCTTTTTCCACCTTTGGAATATTGCTAAGATTAGAAGCATCCTTTCCAGGAGTGATGCTGAAAAACTAGGTCATGCATTTATTACATCAAGAGTGGATTACTGTAATTCATTACTCTCAGGAAGTCCACAGAATGTAGTTAAGTCTTCAGCTTGTCCAAAATGCTGCAGCTAGAGTTCTGATGAGAATTAAAAAGAGAGATCATATCTCTCCTGTCTTAGCTTCCCTACATTGGCCACCTGTTAAATTCAGAATAGATTTTAAGATCCTCCTTCTCACATATAAAGCTCTTAATAATCAAGCTCCATCATACATTAGGAATCTGATTGTTCCATACGTTCCTAACCGAGCACTTCTCTCTCAGACTGCAGGTCTACTGGTGGTTCCCAGAATATCTAAAATTAGGATGGAAGGCAGATCTTTTAGTTATCAGGCTCCTCTCCTGTGGAACCAGCTCCCAGCCTTAGTCCGTGAGGCAGACACCCTGTCTACTTTTAAGAATAGGCTTAAAACATTTTTATTTGATAGGGCCTATGGTTAAAATCTGATGTTAGCCTAAATCTGGACAAGTGGGGGAGTAGAGGGAGGTGGAGTGTACAGTCGGTAAAGACGGCTCTCCCTTGCCCTGCCACCAACATGCCTCCATCTAAATAGGATAGATTATCCAGAGTTATCTCTGTAGTTATGCTGCTATAGGCTTAGACTGCTGGAGGACACACTGACCACTTTCCACACTCGACTACTTTCTTCTACAATCTGCTCTTTAACTGTATTATTTCCTGCTATTTCGGCTGTTAACTTTATTTTCTCTCTAAGTGTTTTTCTCCCCAGAAGAAGCTACAACGATGTTCTGCTGAGCTGTGGTGGCCTCATGGAGGGGGCCATCGGCTAGCACACTGCTGCTAACCACTTAAACATTCTCCCTCTCCTGATAATAACTTTTTACTCTCTTTGACGTTGGATGTGCTACTACTAGTTTATCCGTTTAATTATAGATCCACTAGGATAAATACAATAAAGTTTATCTCTCATTAAACAGAATATTTACTAAGAAATCACAATGTAACCATAGACACATTGCTTGGTGTGTGTGTGTGTGTGTGTGTGTGTGTGTGTGTGTGTGTGTGTGTGTGTGTGTGGTGTGTGTGTGTGTGTGTGTGTGTGTGTGTGTGTGTGTGTGTGTGTGTGTGTGTGTGTGTGTGTGTGTGTGTGTGTGTGTGTGTACTGTGATGGACAGAAGACGGAAGCTGCCGGGCTCTGAGGGTGTGGTGATTGGACACCGGCTGGTCCTCGTTATGGATAACGAGGCCGGGGAGGATAAAAGGGTGACAGGTCTACGGAGATGTGTGCGTGGTCGACCTGTTATTGTGGCATCGGACTTTGGGGGGTGGGGTCGTTCGCAGTCGGTTAGGGCTGCCTGCGACGAAGACAGTTAAGCAGGCGTACAGCGTTCCAGCGTTAGGAGGGAAGGCTGGTTGCCTTCTTTAGGTAGCGAGGGCTGGGCATAGTGGATGCCGAGACCACGCTGATATCTGCCGCCACGGACTCTGGCAGTTGGACTTATGCTGTGGAATTACCCGCCGTCCTCGCAAGCTGCACCCTGGGGCGTTGGACGGCGTTGGAAGCTCAGACCCCGGGGAGGGGGGTCACAGCATCCGAGACAGCTAAGTACCGCTGCTTGTTTTACTCATGCTGGACAGCTGGTTTTAGAATAGGGGACTTTTGATCATTGTGTTGTAGTATTGAGTATGTAATAAAGCGTATCGTTCTATAAGTCGTTGCCTACTGGTGGTGTTTTCGGGTTCTGTCTGGAGGGCAAGATATTCTGCCCGTGCGCCCACGGAAGCTTACATTACAGTACTTTGCTGAGAAGAAGCAGATTTGGGAGAAAGGAAATGTGAAACAACATGTTAAAATCCCAAAAAGAATGCGGAATATGCAGTGATATGTATAAAATCAGGGACTAAATCAGCCTTATAAAGGGTTTGGCTCCATATGAAAGATCCAGGACCGGAGCACCGTCAACTTGTTGCCACCGTAGTTCAGCATAATGGACATTTTCGGCTATCTTGTTTGTGATGTGAGCGGAAGTAAAAATCTGGATGAGAGATAGAAGTTTCATTTGCTGGTTTTTCTAGTAAAACAATCAAAAATGTCATCTCAAAGAAGTGTAGCAAGAGAATTTGTGTTGTATGTCGGTGTGCTTGCATTAGCTTACCGGTATGTGTGCGTAGCCCATGTGTGTGTTGGTGTGCAGGCCACGGTTGAAGGAAAGACACAATACATAAAGAATATACACCTGTGACTTACCAGAATGAAAATACTCTGGAGGGTGATGTTTGATCGCCTTACAGCTACAATCCAAGCGAGCTGACGAGACTTTGCTATGTCAGAGACTTGGTCTCCATAGTTACGCCTCCAAGCAGGAAAACGGGTGAAAATTTAGCCCGTTTTCCACCTTTTCCCCCCTAGCGATCACGTGCTGCACCCCACAACACAGCAATGATTTACCATGGTTGCCTAATATAACCGATCAAATGAAAAATAGATTAATTTAAGCCGCAAGACCGAGACTGAGCGCACTGTTGTCAGTGGTATGAAGCAACAAGTAAGGACTCGAAAGCCACCGACAGGCCAGCCACCTTGGTGACGACGACACGATTACAAGCCTTTTATCACTTAAACTATCACAGGTGCGGCCAAAGCCACAGTGTGTACCTGTTTACCATCAAATCTGTGTATCCAGTTCACAAATTTGTCGTTTTTCATTCATTTGCAAGTTAAAAGATTATCAGCCTCTGAGGAAATGTATGTTAACGTCCTATTAACAAGTTCACTTTGACAGGTAAAAACACACAAACATAAAGAAATACTCTTGTAATCTAATCTGTCAGTGTCCCCCGGGGCAGCTGTGGCTACACCTTAGCTCATCACCATCAGTGTGTGAATGTGTGTGACTGGATGAATGACACACTGTAGTGTAAAGTGCTTTGGAGTCCTCTGACTCTGAAAGGTGCTGTACAAGTGCCGGGTCATTAATCATTATCATTCATAATCCTGGATGAGGCTGAATACTTCTCCGCCCGATTGGTCGAACAGCATCTTTTAGTTCTTTTTAAAACACAGAAAGGTTTTATTTACCTGCAACGTTTCGTTTGCGGCTGCAAACTTCGTCAGGCTGACGCTGATGGTGGCGTCACTTCCTAATCCGTTGTCGAATTGTGATCGGCAGAGGCTTTTCCGGTTCGCGTCTCACTTTTTTACAGCAGCGGCCCAAAACGATCTCCTAACACATGGATTTTCTGCTTCCTGATCAGGTGACGCGTGACGTACGCGGATAAAGATCGGCTTTAGAGCTGAGACGTTTGTTCTCACGGTGCGGGGGCTCGTCCGACGCCCACACAATAAAAAAAAGCAAATGACGACTTTAATCGTCATTGCCAGTGAATGTGGAAAATATCCATAAAAACTTTGGTGTACTACAACTGGGGGGGTTGTACCTCATGAATGAGAGCTGTCAGAGTCTGCTGGTAGTTGCGACTTCTGCTGGACAGGAAGCGATCAATCGGCCTTCCGCTGCGGTCTGTCTGCACAGGAATCTCATAACAGAGCAGCAGTCCAGCTACAACATAAAGAACCAGACTGACCAACTGGAGCATAAAGAGCAAGAACATAACCAGTAACCCACGCTGACCTTTGTAAACATGGGAAATGTGGTTTACTGGGTGAAGCAAAAGCCTGTCATCACAGTAAAACAAGGCTTGCCGAGACACCTCACTACCATCAGACGCATGCGCGCGCATACACACACACACACACACACACAGAAAGGGAATGTAGATCTAGACATCTCCTAACAGATACCAAGTTTTAATCAAAGTTTTTACATCAGAGTAGGACATAAAGCTGAGTTACACCAGAAACCTGATCTAAAATAACCAGTGTTCCATATCAACCAATCAGATCATCTGACATCAGTAGCTCTGTGTGTGTGTGTGTGTGTGTGTGTGTGTGTGTGTGTGTGTGTGTGTGTGTGTGTGTGTGTGTGTGTGTGTGTACCTGCTAACCCAGGCTTCAGCCCAGGCTGCTTGTTCTTCTCATAAGTCTTCAGCATGAACGACGGGATCGCTGCTACAGTTTTCCCCTGGTCTGAACGTAATCCCACTCCACTCAGAGCAGAGAAGTACACTCCTCGAGGCATTTGCCTCATCTCCTGTTTAACCAGTGATGTCAGGAAGAGCTCAAAGGCTGAAAGAAGAAATCACCACGTCACCAGGTTTAGGAGGCTGTGAATCAGCGGGAGGGTTGGTGGTTCAATGCTGGCTTCCCCTCCACAAACTCAAGTGTGTTTGGGCAAGTCGCGGCCAATCAGAGTGATGAACGTGTGTGAGTTGTAGTGGCTAAAGCCGGGCGGACACTGTGCGACTTTTTCACTCGTAGCACTCAGCTTCAGCTCAAACTGTACGACTTCCTCGCAGGGCAGATCTCACGAGTCATGCGCTCACACTGCATGACCCAGTTCTCGCATGCGACCTGACTGCTCACACTGTACGTCTGGTAGCAACACGTCGGCCCTAAAAAATGCTAAAAATAGCAGTTTCTACTCAACACGTCAGACTTTTTGGTCTTGTCTTGCCTGTTGTCCTTCGGGAGTGCTGCAGGAGGACACACAGGGATTTATGGGGGTTGGATGAGGAAAACGAAATAAAGAAATAAAATCTTGTGTTTAGTGATCAGTTTAATTTGACACGAACACGACAAACACGCTTTCTTGACAATCTTTGTGAGTAAAAAACCGTGTAGAAATAAAAACAAACAACGTGTGTTATTAGGGGAATAGCGGGCGAGCGGAGTTGATGCATGATTGCGCATTCGCCGTGAGCGGTTCTGGTACTTTTTGGGTCGCAGCTGCTCGCAGCGCCGCTTCAACAGTGCGATACTCTCACGAGGGACGAGCGAAATATCAAACACGCCAGAAGTCCGTGCTAGCTTACGATTGCTGATCAGTAGCTGGTCACGTGGTGTTAATCGCCTCTCGTAGCCCCCTGTACACTACACGACCGCTCGGCGCTAAACTCGCCCCGATGTCGTGGATTCTCACACGACTGGAAAATCGGCTCAAAAAAGTGAAAAAGTCGCACCGTGTACGCCCGGCTTTAGTAGTAAAGTGCGGTCTCTGGAGCTGCAGGATAAACCTGCACACTGAGGTTGGTCTCAGTCCACCACAACAAACCGTGATGTCCCAACCCCAGAGGAGTTTTTACTGTTTATGACGTACTTGGTAGGACAGCGCTGGAGGTGAGAGCCATCAGCTTCAGGTAAGAAGACCCAGGAACTGAGTAGTCTTTCTCCTCATCCTCGTTGTTCTGATCTGCTCCATCGTTACCTTCTGCCGCTTCAGACATCTTCAGTGCCGGTCTGACCTGGAGACAGATTAGAAACAGATTGTTTTACTTTAATGATAAATATAAAACCATCCTCTGGACTGCAGCCAGGTCCCTTCCCTCTTCTCCCCCAGTAAGAGCAGTGGAAATTTTACATAAAGTTATTTTACATTCTGATTTTCAGGTCTTTAATGTTAAACCATTTCATGTCAGACTCGAAGCTATAGTAAACACTCGGTGACTGTTTAGTCTGAACATTATAGATATTGGTATTAATATAAAGGATTCAGGTCAGGGTGATTTGTGTAATAATGCATTTATAGTTGGACGACCATGATGGAATAAGTTTTCAGTTTTCAAAAGGGGCAAATTATTTTTTACAACTATTTTTACTAAAATAAAACAGTAACACAGAAAAAAGTAGGTAGAAAAATACCGTTTTGCATTCTGAGAAGGTAAAACGTTGAATTAAACTTATAAATGTTGGGGTTAAAGGCATTGCTTTGGACTGGTTTAAGTCCTATTTGGCTGACAGGTCGTTTTGTGCATCATTAGGTGGCTTCACGTCATCTCGCTCGCCTCTCGTACGCGGGGTTCCTCAAGGATCGGTGCTGGGCCCGCTGTTGTTCTCTCTTTATTTGCTACCTCTGGGTTCTATTTTTAGGAAACATGGATGTTCTTTTCATCTATATGCAGACGACACCCAGGTTTATATTCCCACTAAACGTGGCCTACCCAATTCTTTAGATCCTCTTCCAAACTGCCTAGATGAGGTTAAAACCTGGATGTCTGCAAATGTTTCACATTTTAATAATGACAAGACTGAGGTCATGCTTTTTAGTCCTAGTGTGTCCAGTGGGCCATGTTCTGCTGACCTTGGTCCACTAGCCCTATTTTTGAAACCTGTAGCGACCAGTCTGGGAGTCCAGCTTGACAGTGATCTGCTTCTGGAAAAACAAATCAGTGCCGTCACCAAAGCCAGTTTTTATCAGTTAAAGAGGATCGCCAAGGTTAAGCGTCTGCTCTCAAGTCATGACTTTGAGATGGTGATTCACGCGTTTATTACATCCCGCCTTGACTACTGCAACACTCTGTACCTTGGTCTTTCTCAGTCTCACCTCTCCCGTCTTCAAATGGTGCAAAATGCAGCAGCACGCCTATTGACAGGTTCGAGAAAGAGGGAGCACATCACCCCAATTTTAGCTTCGCTGCACTGGCTGCCTGTCGATATTAGGGCCGTACATGGCCTTGCTCCGCAGTATCTGTGTGAACTTTTAGTTACTCACTCCCCGTCTCGGTCACTGAGGTCAGCCGACCAGTTTCTCCTGGAGGTGCCGAGAACAAAGAGAAAGCTCAGGGGTGACAGAGCTTTCTCAGTAGCAGCTCCAAGGTTGTGGAATGCACTCCCAATCCAGATTAGGATGGTTTCGTCACTGTCGGGTTTTAAAGGGACATTAAGGAAGTGTGACAGCCAGAACATGTATAGAAATAATAAATGTCTTCTTCATACGTTCTCCTGCAATGCCCTGGTCCTGTAGAATGAGCCCTGGCATTTTTACTGTGATTGCCTGTTTTTCTGTAAAATCACAGAAAAAGAGAGATGCTCGGGTCGAGCAGGCTGCTTCATGCGCGTTCACGCTCAGGCATAGCCCGTAGCATTTGCTATCCGTAGCTTTAGCAGCAGAGAGAGAGGCAGTGCCACTTTGTCGCTGTTCCTAACGCCTAGTGACAAAGCTAGCTACATTTCTGAGGACCCTTAGCTACTTTCTGTAGAACTTTCTTCTAGATATTTCCTGCTAATTAGCAACAAAATAGCCATTTTCACTCCGAACCGTTCTTTGGTTTGACGTTGTTTCAGCTGTCATCAAGGATATAAATGTTACAGATACAAAATACGTCACTGGTGCTTTAGCTCACCTAGTAAGACGTCGGACTCTCGTGCAGAAGACCTGGGTTTGATTCTGGATGTGAACATAGTTCATTTAGTTTCTTTTTACATTAATGGTATATTTTTTACAGTAAGATGCCCAAATTTTTATTTGAGACTCGCCGAACGGCATTGAATTCACAGATAAAAAAGATGTGGGTTCAACTTTCATTTTGGAACAATTTTTCAAGCAAGGGAAGGGAATGATCTGAGCATGCAGGAGGACTGACCCATCATAAACCTTTGTCGGCTGTGCTGAAGAGAAAGGTACAGAACCACATTATTTAATTAATTAGCTGCGTGTTCTCCTGTCCTCTGTCATCCGGGCCACACACACACACACACACACACACACACACACACACACACACACACACACACACACACACAGAACTGTCTCAGCTGTTATTTTCGTTAAGGAGTGTGCACGTACAGCATGCGCGCCTCGTGCACTAGCCTACTATTGAAGCTGCCGTTACGCTTTTGGCCTGAGGGGGCAATCGTGAGCATAAAAATTCAAAACTCCATAAAGTCCCTTTAAATCACTTTTAAAGACTCATCTGTTCTCAGTTGCGTTTAATTCAGTTTGAGAATGCATCTGTTTAAGTAGCTTTTATGTCAGTTTGATATGTTTGTTTTTATCATGTTTTTACCTTGTGATGAACTTTTTATCTTATTTTTAAAATTTTTAGGGAACTTCTCTTCTTTTTGGCTTGTTAAACACTTTGGTCAGCTTTTATGCTGTTGTACAGTGCTTTATAAATAAAGTTGACTTGACTAAATGAAAAAAACCATTTAGATGCACATAGAACAGGTGAAGCAGGAGGTCTTACTGTCTCAGGTAGGTGAAGGATTGTGTGAGCTGCTTCAGGAAAAGCTGCCAAAGCCTTGTAGCCACAACTGGCCACACCTGGATCCTGTTGCACCAAAAACACACACCCACTGCTTTTACTGACAAATCTAAATGTGCTGTAATAAACCGAAGAGGACAGACGCCCAGAAAAGACTAACCTTGTTTAAAGCATAACTCCAGAGAAATCCCACCACCTCCGTTTTCATTATCTGGAAAAACAACAGGTGTATTTGGATTTGAGCTGAAATTTTACTGGCTTTAAAACGGTTGTTAAACACTAAAAACCTACGGGACACTTGGATGGCTGCTTTCAGGTTAGCGCCTGAACCTCATCTTGGTTTAACTACCTCATTTTGTCCTTAAAGAGCAAGTCACCCCCTGCCAGACTCTTACTCAACTCCCACTTCCTGTTTGAAAAATGCAACAAATGCTGTTGCCCAGCAGACCGAGAGGGTGGAGCCTCTAACAAATACACACACTCACGGCATTGTGACATCATAATGCACCATCTAACATCATAGGGTACCTCTTAGCCAATAGTGATGGCAGATTTAAATTCAAATGCAGTGCTGAGTTTTTACCTGACGAAGGTGCATCGCTGACAGTTTTAGGCAGAATATTTAAATTTTAACTAAAATGCACTAAAGTGCCGAATTATTGACTACATTGGTCTACAGCACACTTGGACACTCATTTACATAGTTTATCAGCAAAAAAAAAAAAAGGGTGATTTGGAGTGACTTGCACTTTAAAACAGCTTCTTAACTCAAAGGATGGACCAGTTAAAGGGATTATCCAAATCCACCCTTGGGAGCTGCTGACCGCATATTATTGCTATTGCCTCATGAAAACCACCCCAAACGAGTTTTGGGCGTCAAGCAAGCCTTTTCCTGAGTGTAGCGTTGTATGGGGTGGTGTCTATGGCTGCAAACACTGTGTACCCCCCAGCCTTGCCTTCAAAAGCCTGTTTAACACCCAGTGACTAAAATCAGGTGTGTTGTAGAAGAGCAGCCTCTAAAATATGCAGGACGGTGGCCCTGGAGGACCAGGTTGGACACCACTGGTTTATATGGTAAATGGCCAGTATTTGTATAGCGCCTTCTTAGGGTTCTACAACCCCCCAAGGCACTTCACAACACAGTCAGTCATTCACCCATTCACACGCTGGTGGGGATGAGCTACGATGTAGCCACAGCTGCCCTGGGGGGCACTGACAGAGGAGAGGCTGCCGAGCACTAGCGCCACCGGTCCCTCCGACCGCCGCCAGCAGCACTTGACCTGCATTAGTGTCCCGTGTAGGATCAGAACGTGCAAAGGCATCTGCTCTGAGGAAACTTTAGGAGATGCTGAACTTCACCACAACCGCTGTTGTTACAAGAAACGATAAACAAACATTTAATTTAGTCAGACTCGTAATTATCTAACTCTGCTTTTGCCGGGGCTAGCCAGAGCCGTGAAAGGGACTCGGGCCTTTTAACTCTGGTCAAACGTAAACCGACAGACACAGTGATGTCATGATGTGGGAGCCAATAAAAAGAACCAGTGAGTCAGAACCTCATAGTCCTCTGACTTCACGGCGAGCTGGGGAACCAGCGACAGAAGCTCGGCTATGGCTTTAATCATCAGTGGACGGGTGTCACAGCTCAGCTCAGGACCAAGACTCTTCCAGGTGGAAATGATGTCCACAACCTAAAAGAACAGGTGATGGGAATAACGTCCCCGTTATCTCAGTGGCAGCGGTGGGCTGTATCAGCTGTGATATGCATCGATGTCAGGACAGCCGTGTCCAGGTGGGCTACCTCTGCTCTGCACAGCTCCTGGAGGGCCTGCAGGGCCAGAGCAGCTGGGGTCACCAGGTCTGGTCGGCTGCTCTGCTTCAGAGTGAAAGAAAGGGCAGCTAGCATGTCCCCCCCGTGCTGGTACGGCCTGTGAAAGACAAATCCCTAAAAACGTCACATAAAGCCCAAGAGCATCCGTGTTTCATGTCATTCATTCTTGGAGAGGTTCTTCACTGAGAAGTAGGGATGGGCAAAATAGAAAAAAAAGCTTACTGATAAAAATAAATCTGACTGACTGATAGCAATAATTATTAAAACTTTATGAAAAGAAATGCAGAGAATAAACTTTAAGAGCAGCCATTTTATGCCGTTACTTTATAATGCAAGCTGACTGCGTTCCAGACTTGATTTTTGTTGATTCTCTGCTAATTTTGCAAACCACTAGGGTAGGCTTTTGTCAAGACTTGAAAATATTGCCACGCTGACTAAGTACTGCAACCTTTTCTCAGAACCATTTCCTCCACCACTCCGTGCTGAGGCGTCGGTCTGTTTGGGTTTGGGAGGGGAGGGCTTGGTGACGGAGCACGCTTGGGGCTGTTATTGAGTGGTTGGGTGAAAACAGACGGAGAAACTCTAGGATGAGAAAATCCTGACAGATCTACGTCACACTGTCACTAACATTCATGGACTCACGACGGGGAAGGCTGTTGTTGGTTTAACGTCCAGGAAACAGCAGAGAGCGTCTTGGCTAGTAGAAGCTAACCGTTAGCATTAGCAACTCCACCACACAGCAGAACTCCCCTGGGAGTCTGTTTCCCTCCAACAGTCTAAGGCCCTGTCCACACGTAGTCGGGGATCTGCCAAAACGTAGATATTTTTCTACGTTTTGGCCTGTCATCCACACGAAAACGGAGTTTTTTCACACGAAAACGGATCTTTTTAAAAACTCCGGCCAAAGTGAAGATCTGCGTTTTCTCCGTTTTGGGTGTCTGCGTGTGGACGGACAAAACCGGAGTTTTAAGGTCCGCAACGTCACTTTCCGCGACAAGAAAATGCTGACATCACGTGTGCGACCTGTGTTTACACTAGCCGACAGCATGGATGCCCTCAGAGCTGCGCTCGCTTTATCAATTGTCCAAGCGCTTTCTGCTTGTTTGTTTTTGCAAGTGGAATTACTGCTCCTTGTGGAAGACCACAGACGAAGGACGAGGTTAAGAACGGGGGAAGTACTGCCGCCTACAGGTCTGGCACGTCCTTAACAACGTATTTATCCAGGTACGTGTGGACAGAGTTTTTTTTAAAACGAGGTGGTGTGGATGCAAGTTTTTAGAGGGGCGGATATTCGTTTTTAAAAAAAAAAACCCGGCTACGTGTGGACTAGGACTGAATATTGTGGCACGGTTTGCTTTGTAACCTATGATCTTCAGCTAGCGTTGCCTCGTAAAAATGTCACTTCTTAAAACATCAAGTCTGAAAGAAATCTCCAGAACTATAAGTTGGTTCTAATGGTTCGGCAGATTTTCGGCGGCATTTCTGTGTGCTACTGAACAGATGCAACATGCATCATTTTGTTTTCCCACATATCAGCCTGTGGTCAGAAGTTCCAGCGTTTGTGCAGTGACCTCTCTCTACAGACGTCCCTGAGGCAGGCAGCTCTGGCCAGGATCTGCTCCCACTGAGTGTCCTGCCCCACCAGCTCCCTGGGCTCCTTCAGGCTGAGCAGACACTGCAGCTCTGGATAAACCCGGTCCTTCAGGGACAGACAAACAAAAAGACAACACTTTGACAGACGGTCTAATCGGACAAAGCTGTTAGCAGTGATGCTAGGCTTTACACCAGACCTGTTTTTTCCACAGAGCTGTCATTAGGCGCATCGACACCGCTCTGAGTTTGGAATCAGAGGCCAGTGTGTGTAGAGTCTGCAGCACCATGGGGACACAGAGCTGAAATAGCAGAGCACACGACTGCAAACACAGCAAAACACCTCCGCGGAGCTCTGCACCAACACTGAATGTCAAGCACGCTTGCTGCTGCTACCTTATGAGTCCCAAGGTGTGGCAGGCAGTTGAGACAGGCGTGAATGAGACCTGGACTTTTCTCCTTTGACATCTTGAAGAGCACAACGGAAAGAATGGAGGGAGCCTGAAGACAGAGTCAGAGTAAAACATTATAAGGAGGTAGCTTCCAGGATGTTCATGGTGAAGGCCAGAACTCATCTGCAGCATGTAAAGTTTGTGAACACCCTCCAGGTACATAAAAACTACATGCTGTAGATGGTTCTGCTGTCATAGTAATCATATAATTCACATTTCCGTGGCTCTGATCAGCTTCTCCTCACCGATCTGAGCTGACATGTAGTTATCAGTACCTCCAGCAAGGGGTGCTGTGTGCTAAACAATGACTACCTTAGTGGCTGCCTCTCTTCAAAGATGAAACCGAGATTGTTCTACACCTCTCTAGCTAACTAAAGCATCAGACATCCAACGTAGACATTCAGGACAGATAAGTCCATGTCAGAGCTCTGCAGCAGAAGAACCTTAACCCTTTAGGCGCCAGAGTGTTTTCAGTAAAATAAGAGTTTTTATATCACTATTTAAAGAGCTCGTAGCTTAAATCTGGTTAGAGATAGAGGAATATTGTAAATTAGAGAAATCTTCAGTATGAGCCGAATTTTGTGATAGGAACAAATTCTCTCACATAGTTTGCATATTATGACGTCATCAGGTGGCAGCCATATTGGATTGCATCACATTTGCTGATTTTTTTTGTCTTATTTTCTTACTGTTGTTATTGTTTATGATACATATACACACATTCCTATGTATCCCCGTCTCCACAGTGTCCAACTGGCTCATCAAAATGCCTGATCCACTTGGAATACCGTTCCTCTTCTCCCAAACTAACCCAGCCATCATCATTATTATTGTCACTGAGGCTGTGTTGGGCCACCCCCCTGCTAGCAGGCGGTTCCTCCCCCTCCTGCTGCATTTCCCGCGGTTTACACCCCCCGGGGCTGAATCGATCACCAGCGGAGTTTTCACCGGCCCATCACCGATCACCTTCCCCAGCACGGTGGAGTGAAGGATCAGACCCAGTACAGCTGCTCCAGCCCCCCCGCCACGTCTCTTTCCCCGACCACGGACACGGTGACGCAGAACATCGGACCGGGTAAGGGCTGGACGGGCGGTTTGTGTAACCGCGTTGTCAGACTCCCTGTTGCTGCGCGCTGATGTAACACTTCCCATCTCGCTAGAAGACGGCAGATCGTCCTCGGAAAGGAAATATTCTTCCTCCGAATCCGAATCTGCCAGGACTAGACGAAGAGCTTCGTCAGCACTACCACCAGTGTTGGGAGTAACGCCATTTAAGTATAACGGCGTTTCTAACGGCGTTCTTTTATAGGTAACGGAATAATCTAATTAATTACTTTTCCCGCCGTTGCCGTTACTGGGGACGGAAGGTTGTGCATTACTATGTGCTTGTTGAACGTTGAGCAACAGCGTGAGGCTTTCTGACCGCCACACTTCAGCTGCAGCCAGGGAGAGAAAGGTGTCGGTAACGCACTTACAAACACGATGATGATTGGCCGGGTGGGCGGAGACCCTCACTGTCTCAGTCGCTGCCTGCTGTAGACGCAACGGGAATAACTCTGTTTAAAATAACCGCGTTAATAAAAAATATTTCTTTCTGTAACGAGCAAACTAATTAATTACGTCTTCTTTTATCAAAACGTCGTTTCTGTTACTGATAAGAAAAAGCGTGCGTGAAGCAGCGCGGTGTGTTGAAGCTGTCATCAGCTGATCAGGAGCTAAAGAGGTAGATGTTTTCATGCAAGTGCGTCACGGCCGTGAAGAACGAGGAAGACGTGATGAATATCTACGGCTGCAGACCCCCCGCAGATTTGTTGCTGCAGCAGCGAATCTGCGGGTCTGCAGCCGTGTTCTTAGCGTGACAGCGGGACGTCCTGAAGGTCCGCTCACCTGTTCACCGCTCAGACATCCTGATCTTCTACCTTCCTAGATCATCCAGCTGTAACCTGTTTCTGATCATGTCTTTAGTCCCGCTGTAACACTGATGCATCAGTCTCAGACGTCATGGAGCTCAGGTGTTATTAGAACTACCTGTGTGTGTTTACCACCCAGCTTCAGCTCTTCTGTGGGTGGGTCTGACCCAGGTTAGTACATTTAAGTCCTCCATCAGGCTTGTGCCTCTTCTAGTGTCATTTTAAAGGATATTTATTTATTTATTTAACCGTTACTAGATTAGCAGCAACAGAAATGCTAGTAAAAACACACAATTATGTGAAGCTGGAAAAATTAGAATACTGTGCAAAATTACATTTATTTCTGTAATTTAACTAGACTGAGAGACTGTTTAAAGGCTCGGGAATCTTTGCAGGTGTTTCTATTTGCAATTTTAAATTTTAGCTGATTGGGTTTTTGTTAAATATCACACAGTGACCTTTTAATAGTCTAGATTAGTGTAATGTTCCTATTAGTAGTTCCTCCTGTTAAGTGTGTATTTGTTTAAATTATTCAGGTTTATATAAAACATTTGGACATACATTTTATTACGTTCAGTCATTAGTCATTTATATTTTACTATTGTAGTAATTCTTGCATTCTTTAATGAAAAAAGTAACTAGTAGTAGTTACTTTTGTTGGTAATTAGTTACTTTTATGATCTTCTAACTCAGTTAGTAACTGAGTTACTTTTTTGACAAAGTAATCAGTAACTATAACTAATTACTTTTTTAAAGTAACGTTCCCAACACTGACTACCACTCACTCGCTCTGACAACCCCCGCGGCTCTGCGACTGGTGGGCGGGGTTCGAGCGCTAAATACTCCATAAATTTGAATAGTAACACACCCACAAATGCTGCTTGGATTGAAGTTACAGGTGTCTGCCACCTTGCAGTGTAACATATTAACTGCATGAGGGCTCATTTCTGCTGCTGTGGCTTATTAAATCCAACATTGCTGCTTGTCGCAATTCTGCGACTTTGGCGCTTAAAGGGTTATAATACACATTAAACATCATTCCTGTCGTTGCATAGCAACTACTTCACCTGCATGTCTGGAGAGCGAGGGAGGTTACAGAGAACCGCAGGTGTCCTTTAATCTGATTTTACACCAAAACACACGTTCCTGACCCCAAACCCTTCAAACGTACAAATCCGGCCACGTCTCACCACCTCCGGTGTCTACAGAGAGCTCCATTATGTCCTCATAACCTAATAAAGAGCAAGGTCATTCAAGGACATCCAGCATACTCAGAGCTGCCAACAACCTCCAACGACTGCATCAAAACCGAAAACACAAGCAGCATTCTGGGAGCAATTAGAGCAGCAGGGGAATCCAACGAGGCGTATCAGAGAACTGAGTAATGAGAATCCGACCTCGCTGTGATACTTCGCATCATCTTCTGCAGCTCAATTTACAGTCCTGAGGGACAAGGAGGCTTGTCTGTTTAAATGTCTCTCCATCCAACATCAGAGTTCAGCAGCTGAAGGCAGGGAGATGTTGTCTCTGATCTCATCTGATCAGTTTGAACGCCAGCAGGAGAAACAAAACTGTTCTGCCACTAATATGAAGCGACTGCAGTGGGTTCTCGACCGGGAAAGGGTGGCTAGGTCGGGAGAGAGGTCCTACCTCAAGTGGAGGAGTTTAAGTATCTCGGGGTCTTGTTCACCAGTGAGGGTAGGAGGGATCGGGAGGTCGACAGGCGGATTGGTTCGGCGTCTGCAGTGATGCGGACGCTGAGCCGATCTGTCGTGGTGAAGAGGGAGCTGAGCCAGAAAGCCAGGCTCTCCATTTACCAGTCGATCTACGTCCCAATCCTCACCTATGGTCATGAGCTTTGGGTAATGACCGAAAGAACGAGATCGCGGATACAAGCGGCCGAAATGAGTTTCCTCCGTAGGGTGGCCGGGCTCAGCCTTAGAGATAGGGTGAGGAGCTCGGACATTCGGGAGGGACTTCCTTTCTTGAGTAAGGTGCTAGAGAAATGTGTTTACCACCAGCTCTTGGTTTTTATGGACGAGAATGCCATTTCTGAGACTTTCCAGTCTGGCTTCAGAGCTCTACACAGCACGGAGACTGCTCTGGTTAGAGTGCTCAATGACATCTATCTAGCGACTGATAGCGGTAATTCTGTGTTGTTACTTCTGCTGGACCTCACGGCAGCCTTTGACACGATAGATCATGAAGTGCTGCTTCACCGTCTTCAGGGTTAGCCCTGGAATGGTTTAGATCATACCTGACAAATAGAAAAATGTGTGTTAGGATGGGAAGTTATTCCTCAGAGTACTCTGATCTACCTTGGGGGGTACCACAGGGCTCGATATTGGGACCTTTGTTGTTTTCTATTTACTTTCTGCCCTTAGGTGACATCTGTCGTGAGCTTGGAGTTCAATTCCACCTTTATGCTGACGATTGTCAGCTGTACCTGCCTCTGAACACGTCAAGTGGTCTCTCTATTTCTATTCTTACAAACTGTTTGAGGGAGATCAAGACCTGGATGACTGAAAATGTTCTGAGCCTAAATGATCAGAAAACAGAGGCTATATTGTTTGCTCCAAGCAGACATTGTGACTCTTCCCTAACTGACTGTGGGTCATTTAAGGGACAGCTGACTACATCGGTGACTAATCTTGGTGTTAAACTGGATAGCGCCCTTAGTTTTGATACCCACATCAATGGAGTGATCTCCTCCTCCTTTTTCCACCTTCGTCGGCTGGCAAAGATCAAACCGTTTCTGTCACGTCATGATCTTGAGACGGTGGTCCATGCTTTTATTACGGTGCGATTGGACTACTGAAACTCTGTTCTATTCGGTGTGAGCAAGAGCTCAATAGCCAGGTTGCAAATGGTCCAGAATGCTGCTGCCAGATTTTTAGAGGGCAGGCGCAAGTTTGACCACATAACTCCTGTCCTGGCTGCGCTTCACTGGCTGCCCGTTGATGTTAGGATTCATTTTAAGATACTTTTACTACTTTTTAAAACGTTAAATGGTTTGGCCCCTCCTTACTTGGTGTCACTACTTCAACCATACACCCCTTCACGGTCACTCCACTCGGAGAACTTCATGCTCCTCTCGGTCCCAAGAACACGTCTAAAGACACGTGGTGATAGGGCTTTTGCTGTGGCAGGTCCTAAGCTTTGGAATAAGCTTCCTCTCAGCATAAGGGCCTCCACCTCTGTTGCGGTTTTTAAGGCAAGGCTAAAAACATATTTTTATGACCTGTCTTTTAACCTTCCTAACTAGTTTTATTGTTTTACTTATAGCGATTTTACTCATTGTATTTTTATCTGTATCGTGTGATACAATGTTTTATTTTCTGGACTTAATGTTTTATGTTTTTATTTGATCAGTGTAGCGCCTTGGTGGCATCTTTTTGCCTGTAAGGCGCGATTTATAAATAAAGTTGAGTTGAGTTGAGTTGAGACTCGGAGTAGAACCGCTGCTCCTCCGGATCGAAAGGAGTCAGTTGAGGTGGTTTGGGCATCTGGTCAGGATGCCTCCTGGACGCCTCCCCGGGGAGGTGTTTCGGAGGCCCCCGGGTCGACCCAGGACCCGTTGGAGAGGTTACATCTCCATTCTGCTCCGGGAACGCCTTGGGGTCCTGCCGGAGGAGCTGGTGGAGGTGGCTGGGGAGAGGACGGTCTGGAGCTCCCTAGTTGGGATGCTGCCCCCGAGACTCGGACCCGGATAAGCGGAGGAAGACGACGACGGCAGTGGGATTGTCTTCTGCAAACAGCTAAAGGTTTAAGCTCTCAGTAGGAAACTTCTAGAGTCAGAGACAGAGGAGGGAGGGCTACAACGTACTCATCAGCTTCAGGTTACAGCTGCTGTGTGCAGGAGAACTTCAACACGTGAGCTCCTCAAAGGGTTAAAGTCAGGATTTTCAAATGTGAAGAAAGCTGTTGTGTACGGGCTGGTGTAACTTGGAAAAGAGCAGATAGAAGAGTAACTTTCTGTTTTTGTTTGTAATGAAGTCCCGTTCTCAGAGGCACTCTGGGTTTCGGTCGCCTCCAGCACACACGGGACACCCGAGCAAAGTTCACATCTGTTCGCCCGTTACCGCCTGAACTCCTGTGTGATGATTTTATTCCTCTTCAGTAAATCTAGAGCTCACGATGCCGGTCTCAGCAGAGTAGATCGACTGGGCTTGTTGATGAAGGGATTTCAGTACCTTCATCCAGGACACACAGTTCATCTATTCAAGCCTCGTGAACTTAAGACCACAGACCGTGGGACCAGACTCCCACCACTCTCTTACACAACAGCATTAATATCCAAGCCTCTGGACATTCTTCCAACTGTCCAGAATCGTCCTGCACCTTCTGATGCAACAGAAAAATAACCCCGATCACCAAAGTTATGTCTAAGAATCTCCATCCACAGGTGAACAGAGTAGCTAACGCATGAATCTGTGACTGTTTCGTATTTAGTGTACAGTATCGACTGTGTGGTTTTCTACCTGGCAGGGGTCGGCCGCAGCAATGGCTTGACTTGCTCTCAGAGCCAGGTGGCAAACATCAGCCTCGCCAGTGATGATCAGGTAGGCCACCATGAGAGTGAGGGAGGACGACAAGCGCTGGTTGGAGGTCAGGGTCGAGTTGACCGTCAGCAGCCAATCAACAGCTGCAGCTGGACTGTGGGCGACCTTGCCAAGCACGGACAAAGCTGCGCGGAGCTGGCTGTACCAGGGGCTGAGAGGAAGCACCGCCACAGGGCCAGGCTGAGGTGGAAACACAACATGCTTTAATCCCTCAGCTTCAAAGCACGAGTCCCGGTTCAGGTCTGAAGTTCAGGCAACAGAAAAACAGTGAATGAAGAACCACTAGGAGTATTTGGTTTGTAGGACGGCAGCATTTTATTTCACATCAACAGGAAACCACAAAATAAACTAACTTTAGTTTGATTCACTCAACATTAACACACACTTTGGTTTTGTGTCAATCACGATTCGCGTGTCAAAAGTTAGACAACATGCAATAAACCATCGAACTTCCTAATGGCTAACAACCTGAGAGGAAACGGAAGCCTGCTTCTTCTTCTTCAGTTAGGATTGATGCCTCCGAACAGGCATCAGCATAACTTTAGATAAGCAGCTACCTGTGGAGCTTCAGCTGTTGGTTTGCTGATGCTGCGTAACAAGCTGCGGCCGAGATTGGTGTTCAAGTTGTGTGTTGTTGGCTCAGCCAGTGGCTCGGTGAGGCTGGAAAAGCAGAGAAGCTGCAGCACCGGAAGAACCAGAACCGGACTGAGCCAGGGCAACAGCTCTGTCTGCTCAGGGGCCAACTCCAGCGCTGAAACAGACAGAATAAAGAGCTGATTAAAGTGTCACGGTTACTAATACCACCTAGACCCACAGTAACAACCTAAAGTCGTCCGAGACGGCTAATAAAACTCGAGTGAACAACAGTCCGTAGCCTTAATTGTGTCATGATGGGAGAGGTGGACAGCAGAGTTACTGTCCGTCAACCTGGGAATGTTTTATGGTCAAAATCGTCATCCTGCAGTGAGACGGAAAACCCGACAAGTTCACCCGGAGCTCAGACTTCACATGCATGAGCTCTAGCTCTGACGCTTTCAGCCAACAAACAACACAGCTCAGGTTTTCTAAGTGACATCTGAAAATCTACAAGGGCTAGAGAAGCTGCGGCTACACTGTAGCTCATCACGCCAGCATGAACGCGCGTGTGTGTGTGTGTGTGTGTGTGTGTGTGTGTGTGTGTGTGTGTAAATGACTGCGTTGTAATGCACCTTGGGTGGTTGTAAAACCCTAGAAGACGCTAAATCAAATACAGGTCATTTAAAATGAAATGCATAAACACAATATTAATACCCAATAGTTAATGCCCAATCGTGGAACAGAGACATGACTACAAGGCTCCTCAGGCAACAGAGGAGTGACAGGAAGTCGTCTCCATCAATGGGTGAGCACGACTCCACACCCGAGCTGAAGGAAAAGTATAAACCAGGCCTAAGGCCGTTGCTGAGAATGCAGCAATGTGACCCACATTGCTGCATTTCTATTGTGATAAACGCCCAGCCGGTCAGGGCATGTGTGGGCGGGGCCAGAAACGCTTCATTCTGGAAGGTACTGAAAATGTCAAGAATAAAACCACAGAAATTACTTTATGTTAGAGTGATTGTATTAAAAAATAGAAACGTCATTACCTTAGTCTATCATCGTAGCACAGAACTACTGAAACCTGTCTTGAAAAGTTTTTTAGTTTTATTCTTGATTTAACAAAAAAGTTTTAGCGTTCACCTTTGGGACGGGTGAAACTCCAAAAAGTAGAATATGGTGCAAAACTTTATTTATTTCAATGACTCGACTTAAAAGGTGAAACTGATAAATGAGACAGACTTGTTACTGGCTAATTCAAATATTTTAAGCCTTTATCTGATTATGGCGTACAGCTTATGAAAACCTCACATTCAAAATCTCAGACAAGAGAAAAGGTTCAATATTTTAGACTCAAGGTGTCACACTCTAATCAGCAAATGAATACTAAACACCTGTAAGGGTTCCTGAGCCTTTAGGTATCATGGTCTGAGTCTGCGTCTCCCCTCAAGTTTCTTCTTATGTTCTCCATCCCTCTCTAGGTTCTCCTTTTGTGTCTCCTAGCGCCCTCATGTGTCTCCTGGTGTTCCCCATTTGCCCCCAGATCTTCAGCCCTCTAGGTTTCCCTCCACGGGCTTCCCCCTCCCAGGTCCTGTACTCCCTTGGCCCCCTTTTAGTTACGCCCCTGTAGTATTTCTTTCTGTAGTGTTTTCCTCTAGTTTCAGCTTCCCCCCTAGATTATTAGTTAAGCTCCTGCTCTTCTTGTCTTTAGTTTTTATTCTTAGGTCATGTTTGTTACCTCCCTAATTAGTAATTGTGTTCACCTGCTCTCTCTCTCCCCACACACCTGAAATTCATCTTCCTCTCGTCTTCCCCAGTGTATAAAACCCTGTCTGTGTCTCTGTGTTGCGTTGGTCCATTGTTCCCTGTCAGTCTCGTCTCGTTCTCCTCTCTAGTTTCGAGTGTTTCTAGTTCTCGAGCGTTTGTTTTTGATTTTTGGTGTTTTTGCTCCCTGCCTTCAAGGATTGCTCCAAAATAAAGGATTTTTATTTTATCTTCCACCTCTGCCTCATTCATCTCGTGCTGCATTTTGGGTCCTACTCCTCCTCCAACCGATACTGTGACATTAGGTGGTCTCTCAGTCTAAGTAGAACTGACACAAACAGACTGTTGCACCATGTTCTCATTCTTCCAGTTTCACCTGTAATACTAACCCCAAAATACCACTATCTCCACTCCGCCCCCGCTTTCCGCTGCCGCTCGCTTCCGAACTCAATTTTTACTGGTACCCGCTCTACAACGGCTCCGCCCCGGTGCGGAGACCTGAGGTGCGCAAACAGGCATGCGCAGGATTTTCGAGATCTTGCGATACAGTCCGAGCAATAAACGCGGAAGTTAGATCCAAACACCCGTTGTGTGGGAGAACCATCGAAATGAACAGTTTAATCTGCCCATCATTTGTGTTGAGAGATCAGCAGTGTCTGGATCAACAAAGTGTGACTAGAAACTGTATTTATGGCTTATTTTTGTGCATTTAAAGTTCAACCACCATCGATAGTTGTTAAAAGTTGTTAAACCTGTGCATAAGAAATAAAAACCGCTTTTTGTTTATCGATTTATTGTGAAATAACGGAAGTTGTGCTTGCTCCTTTTCCTGTTGGGCCGTTGTGATTTCTGTCCATTGACTGCGGAGGTGCTCCGGCGTCCGGCAAAAATAGAATCGATCCTATTTTTGCCGGTTGGCGGAACGGCGGGCGGCGCACTACGTCGCACGGCCGCAGTAGTGTAACAGCTCTGATTTACCACAACGGGACCGTTTATGCTGCGGAGTTCGTGCCGGAGCGGAGCGGAGATGGAGGAATTTTGGGGTGACACCAAAGAACACGAGGTTGTGAATCTATATGCTGAAATGTTAATTCAGGAGTTTCCTCAAAAGAACGATTGCTTTATGATCCGATTACCCAGTCTTATTAACCTTTTAGTGACTCTTTCTGATCGACGCACAAATAATAAATCTGTGAGGGTTTCGGAATGGGAAGTTTGCAGTAACATACACTAAAAGGCTCAGTGACCTGTTCAAGATATTTTCCAGTCAATCAAATCTCTAATAATCATATCAGTGTGAACCACAAATGGATCATTTCTGTCAATACGTTCATACAAAAACAAGAAAATAACGGGTGTTTTTGTTCAAGTTGTGTGTTCCGGTTCCTGTCGTACCAAGACTAAGCAAGCAGCTCTGCTGTGCTGCAGGGGCCTCAAGCAGGAGCAGGGCTATGCCCATCATCAGCTCATCCACTGGCAGATCCTACACACACACACACACGCACACACACACACACAGATTTAGAGGCAGAAATCAAAATGAGATGAATCAACTCCAACAGCATGTGATGAAGACAAACCTGTTTGCAGGCAGGCGAGAGCTGTTGTATTAGCAGGAGGAGCGATCTGCAGTCTCCGTTTAGTTTCAGGCATTGCTCACACGCACAGAGCAGCAGCAGAACTAGTCCAGCTCTCTCTTTTACCCAGAACTCTCCAGGAGCCTCAATAAGAGTCGGAAGCAAAGCGCTGACAAACCCACAGAGCTCCAGAACCGCCTCCACACAGTCCAGCTGTAGGCACACCAGACACAAACCAAGAATCACCACAAACCAGCAGGGCCAGCACTAAGCGTCTGCCCACTGTCATACAGGTCTGGAAACCTGCCGTCTCATTCTACCCTGCACCTGTGTTTGGGAAGAATAAAAAAGGATTTACGTGAAATATATTTCTGTTTTTATCAAATTAGTTCAGAACAGAGTCAATGGCTTCATGTTCAGTGGTACCTTTGACATTTGAATCGATTCGGTACTAATTCCCGGTACCTAGGAATCGATACCGGTACCTAACAGTACCAATTTTAGATACTTTTGAGTGTTTAATATTTTAATTCTCTTTTATAATTAAATATATATTTTTCTCAATATATAACCATATTTGATAAATATCACGATAAATAACATTCAACTGTTTGTATTTTAACATCGTCCTTGTAGTTTTATAAGCTGATAATTAAACTGAAGCAAACATCTTTACTGTGAACTAAATTTACTGTGTATCTTCATTCCTTTTGCCCGTGTCAGTACAGGATCTGCTCGGGGCGAGATCGGCTCGGGGTCCTTCGACTGCCGATGACGTCAAAGTACGGCAAACCCACTCGGACAAAATACACTACACATCTTTATACTGTTGGAAAGAATTTAGCTGTTTCGTTATTAAAATAATGTTTCTTACGATGTAAGTTTGTGTTTATAATGGTATTTGTAAAATAAAACACTATTTTATTCATAATGTTGAACTCCTCTTTGAGCACATCCCTTGAAGGATCATAGGTATTAGCAACACCTGTGAAATTGTATTTGCAGGAAAGAAGTGTGTCCCGTTTATTGAAGTATTTTGTGTTTAGAGTTTTTGACGTCTTGTCCATGCGTAGTTCAGTTACGCTCATAGCTGCTAGCCAAAACTCTGGAGTTAAAAGTTTTCTGGCTTTACTAAAATACCTGTCTGTACTTATTTGATTGATGGTAGTTTTACTTTCTATTAGACTCCAAATGTAATCATTTGGCACGTTTCTAATTCATAATTTGTAATAATGTAATCGGTGATATTAGCATTAGCATTCCTAAGGGTTTTTCCATGTATATTAGCATTGCGCTAACCACTCGTTGCCAAATTGCAGCTTTTGCGATTAGAAAATCTCCTTTTGTCACATCGCAATTTAATTGCACGTGCAGTTAATCGTTCAGCCCTAATATACATGCAGCTCTATGCTAAAAGTGTATTTTCAAAGAGGTAATGATGGATTTCTTTGTAAAAGTTGTCCATCTTTCCAACAGAAAAATTTGCCTGGACCAACGTAACATGATAACAACGTAACGTGATTACGTAATTCCATAAGGTTCATGTTCAGCCAATCAACTACTTTGACGTCATCAGCAGTCAAAGGACCCCGAGTCGATCTTGCACCCGAGCAGATCCTGTAACGACACCGTCCTTTTTCATTAGATTTTTCCTACTGGGAAGTTAGAATTTCCGAGGAGAAAGCGAACGCACCATTAGCTGATAACAATGGTGGCAATGGAAGCTAATTTATCAAGCTAACGTTATCTTAAACAGTTTATTTAGCTGCTGGATCAGATTAAGATGAGGATGTCTCACTTAGATCGTTGTCGCTGGTTTCATCATCACCCAGTTACCCATCACATTTAGTGAAGTGGACCCAAGCTTTAGCGTGCGTTCTTTCTACCATGCTGCTCTGTTTACAACTCGCTCGCAGCGACCGACATAACGCTCTTGCGCAGCTGTCTCGTTATGAAGGACGGGTACCGAAACGAGGCACCGTTTCAAATGACGTGAATCGGTGCTCGGATGGGTAACTTAAAAAGTACCGAATTCGGTACCCATCGATTACCTCTTAATAGAGACTGCGTTTAGTATTTTAGGTGTTCTGGATGAGTAAAATTAAACACGTTACTCTAAACGGTTTCTGTCATAGTTTAAAAACTACCCCAACAAGCTTTCTCTTTAAAGTTTTTGTTGAAGCGGCTTTGTGAAGGACCACATTTGTTCCCGTTGGTAGCAATAAGAATTGTTTTTTTCTAATGGATAAAAGTAGGTAGTGTTGGCCAAAAGTGGGGGCCATATTTTATCATGACTACATGTTCGGGTGTTTTAGGCCTAGACTAGAGTTCCTGTTAATACGTCGACCCCTTTTAACATCAGTATTTACACAAGGTAAAGTTAAACAGGAGATGCTTCCATCTTCCAGGACTCTCGTTGCCCTAGACGCTAAATTATTTAATAGTTTAAATAAAAAGAACAAGTGTCACCTGCATGTGAGGAACCAGCTGACACAGACAGAGCAGCAGACTGTCAGACGCTGGCGAGGCTGGCACTGCTCCAGCCCGAGGCGTTGTGGGTAGCAGCACCCTGAGGAGACTCTGACGGAGAGGGGCGTGCTGAGGCTGCCTCTGAGGCTCGCAGTACAGGTACCGAAGGAAGGGAACCAGCAAGGTGATGTAGCTACTTTGGTTTCTGTCAAATAAATGAGCTGTAAATGGTTCACACCCACATAGTGCCCATTCACTCACACTCATACAGTGCTTCCTGTTATATATTTATTGCATATCTATGGTATAGGCCACAGGCTATACCGTTAACCTGTACCTGTTAACAGCCTGACAGATTAAGTCATCAATCTCCAACTGCAGAGCTGGCCAGCAGTCCACTCTGTTCTCCAGGACTTTGATGAATGGGTGAGGATTGCTCCTGTACAAAAACAGAGAACCGCAAGTCTGGTACATTACTGCACTTTTGCACAAGTATGTTCCATCTCGGTCTCTTTGCTCAGCCGAGCAGCGACGTCTGGTGGTCCCCCGGTCGAAATATCGATCGAGGGGTTATCGTGCATTTTCTGTTTTGGCTCCAACTCTGTTGGAATGAATTGCCATTGAGCATTCGGCAGGCGCCGTCCCTTCAAGTCTTTAAGTCTCGTCTAAAGACTCATTTCTACATGATAGCTTTTCAGCGCTAGGGTTCATTGAATTGCCCAGACATTATGGTTTTAATACTTCTTCTTTTTGATCAGGATGCTTGATCTTATTTGTCCACCATTTGTTTTTAATTGATTAGTCTCATTCTGTTACCTCTCTGTATTTGTAATACTGCTTGCTTATTTTACGATTTTATGTTTTTATCTTGCTCTCATGCCCAGGTACTGGGAATGTTTTTATGATGATGCTGTTCAGCACCTTGGGCTTCTCATAACGTTGTGGAAGGTGCTCTACAAATAAAATTGATTTGATTGATTGATTGATTGATTGATTGATTGATTGATTGATTGGTACCGTTCACTGACGTTCCCACATTTCAGCTTCATTCACTTGGTGTGGTACTCCACCTTGCTTTCAAGAGGACTGACAAATCCACTAAGCAGGGTGGGCACCCTCAGACGTCTGACGCAAACATCTATATTTGAGGTGTGTCTGACATTTTTGTCTCTATATTGTTGGAATGCTCTTCACAGACTGGTGGTCCCCATTCTAGATGATTGGATCATAGCTGCTCCCCTGAAAGTCTCTCATCCCGCTGCACAGAACAGCCTCTGTGCAGAACACACTCGGTCCTGGAGCAAAAATAAAGTATTTTCCATCTTCTTTTACTAATTTACTTTTCTAATTGTTTAATAAAATAACTCGGCTGTAGCGCAAGAAGTCAGCGATCCGTATTTCTGCTCTGAATGGAGGAAGAGCAGACTACAGCTCATTCATCAGAATGAGGTCAAATCCAAGTTGAAGCTCTGTGTGTTTTTAACCCTCAGGTGGGCCAGGGGTTAACACAACATTGCTATGGTGTGTGTGTGTGTGTGCGCGCGTGTGTGTGTGCGTGTGTGTGTGTGTGTGTACACAGTGTTTTCATCCATCAACATGGCTCCACGCATAGGAAGGAAGTTAACTGACAGAGTGTGTTTGTGCCTGTAACAGTCTTTAAATGGTATAATCTGTCTGACCATCTCTGCCCCCTTCCTCTGGTTCCGGACGCCAGTTCCAGACCCTTAGCTTTGGATCCCCTCCTATCCATCACGCACTGTTCCACATGTTTCAGCTTCCTTCCTTTGGTTGGACTCCAGATTCAACAATAAATCAGCTCCCAGGCCGATACACCAATAGGTAGGATCACCCTCATTCCTCTAGGTCAGTGGTTGGCAAATGGTGGCCCGCGGGCCACGTCCGGCCTGCGAGCCCTCTCTTTGTGGCCTCCAAACACCGCGCGCACCCCCCACCCCCACCCCTGACGGCCGACCGGGAGGTGTAGGATAGAGCTGAGGAAAATAATCAAATAATCGATGCATCGAGATGCGGGCATAAACGATTCTGCATCATAGAAGAGCAGCCATAATCAGTTATAGTGGAATGGAGTTTTGTTATTTTAACGGCGGCACCAGCGCGGCATCCGGATCTGTCAGAGCGGTGTTCTCCACGTTTACCGGGTAGGAAACGTTGGTCTGCCTTATTGTGGTACTGCAGGGCTGAGCGCTGGAGTTGTAACCTGACTGAGACCGAACCCAAACCGAATCAGCCCGACTGGTTCTGTTGGATTTGGGCGGTAAATTAGGTTAATTGAGCGGGTTGTCGCACGGCACGCTCGCTCGCTCGATCAGCGACTGAGACAGAGCGAGACTGTCTGCTCACACAAGAGAGAGGATCGGAGGACGTTCCTCCAAACACGCGTTATTAGTTTCATAATTTCATTATTGTTTCTCCTGGAAGCGCTCAGTCAGACCGAGTGCTGTGATGTCGGGAGGTCCGGTCTTGGGGAGGGGGCGGGGTCAATGACGGCGGCTGCTGCGTGATCATCTGTCTTTTTTATTTAGGGACTCGGAGAAGTTAAAAGTAGAGAGAAATAGAAGATGGAAGTTCTTGTTCCACTTTATTCTTTTGTCTCATGATGATAAACTGATGTTAAATTCAGCTGAAAGAGAAACTGGGAGGAAGCTTTGGTTCATTTGAAGTTACAGGAGATCTCGTCTCCTATCTGCTCCTCCAGAGACAGCATGGACATGAGGGTAACATGGTGAGGGTCACACAGGACAGGTTAGTGCAGTCACACAGCTGAGCTGGAGGGGGACAGGTGTTGTCCTGCTTTATATTGCAAGCTTGTGTGTTATGTGAGTTACAGCCAGCGATACAAGCAGCAGCAGCAGCAACAACCCCCCCCCCCCCGGCCCTCTTGCTTCTGGGTCGTTTTGTGTGTGGCCCTGGGACTATTATAATTGAGGACCCGTGCTCTAGGTGTTTACAGAGGTCACTAACCTTGGTGGAACAGCATGGGTTCAACCACAGTTACACTGTGCTGCACAAAACAAGAGAGTGACTAAAACTTTTTATTTACAGCGATCTACAACAAGGAAGAACATCTGCCTGGAAAAGGGTCAAAAAAGAGTCACAAAGGGGGTAAAATGTAGAACTAAAGAGAAAGATATTCTAATGAAATTCATTCTCCACTGATAAACAGTTGTCTGCTTTAGGGGTGTCCACATCCAACCACATGATAGGAAATCGGTCCGGATTAGGGCTGCTCGATATTAGGAAAACCTGCGATATTCGATAACAATGATTAATATTGCGATGCCGATATTACTTGCGATAAATAAAAACTTAACTCAGCAACAAAAATAATCAAAACAAATAAATAAAAAATCATAAAAATGAGAAACGCAAAAGATGTGAGGAAAGGGAAAAGGAACAAGAAAAGGCAATCAGTGGATCCCGGGAAAAGCAGAATCAGCAGAAAGAGCAGAGCAAAGCTAACTCAGGTGTTTGCTAACCATCCAAATTAAGTGCCATCCACCTCGGAGGCGGGCATCTAACCTATGAGAACCCACCCAGTTGGCCAAATGGGTGAAGAGCTTTATTTAGTTGTTAAAAAAAACATCATGCTTCCATTTGATGGACAGAATGCGTTATGTGTAGCAAACATTTGAGCTGACCATTCATTGCGATTTTTATCTGTTCTTTGCGATATGCATATTGTGCATGCTGGTATCGCGATAACGATATATTTACGATATATTGTGCAGCCCTATTCCAGATCATGTGGTTTCTGGGATCGGACGTTTCTTCCCTAACCAGACTCACCCCGGGTTTCCACGGGAGCCGTCAGCAGCACGTTACTGCAGCGGCACGTCTTGCTCGCGTAAGCTGCTGCGTGGCCCTTCCCACGAGACGCGAAGCAGCAGGGGAGCGGCTGTCACCGACAGAGCACGAAGTCACACGAGTGACTTCGTCAGTAAACACAACAACAAGCAGGAGAAAACTACAACATGGTTTGTGTTTTATGTTCTGTCCGTTTTATAATCGCCAATACGGACCTGAAAAACAAAGGAGACCGCTAGCTAGGTGATAACTTCTCACGGGGCCGCACAGTTAGTAACCTTTTTTAAGGTAAAGCAACCGGAAGGCAGTACGTTCTTTATTCTGAAAATCTCGGTAGCTTCTCTCCATTTCCGCGTTCGATTTCCTGTCTTTCCTTCCCCAAAAATGTCGAACTTGACCCGTTTCAGAGGCGTCGCACGTAGAAAATAGAACCGGCGCGTAAAGGCCGCGACATGCTGCTCCTGAGACGCGGCCGACTCGCGCTGCTGACGGCTCCGGTGGAAAAGGTTCTGTTGACCACAGCGGTTCCTATCAGCAGCTATGACGTGCTGCTGACGGCTCCCGTGGAAACCCGGGGTCAGGCTTCAAATTACAGGCCTGTTCTCCTAAAAGGGCGACAGTCTCCACTAGAAGCCCTCAACCTACACACCCGGGGAGCCCGAAACAAATCCAGCAGAGAGCTGATTATTCATGCGCTCATGGCAGCTGCGTCCTGCACACGGCCACAGTAACATTGTCAAAGTGGTGCCAACAAATAATGCATAATTAACAGGGAATGTTCATGTCTGCTCATCTTCTCTGGTAATTTCTGTCTTTTATCCGTGCCTGACGCGCTCTGCCACTGCAGCGGAGCTCATCGCCCGCGCTTCGGTGACTTCACACCACCGGCACGGCCGCACACGCCGCTACTTCTGCAGCGCGGTGCTTTGATCTGCTTAGTTAAAAAGTAACTTAGGAGGTGAAAAACTAGGAAGCCAGGAAACAATATTTCTGGAGGACTGCGAGGAGATGCAAGAAGATGCGAGATAGACAGGACAGGAAAATAATCACGTAAAATAACAAGAAAACAAAAGTCTTTTAAAATAAAATGCAGGTAGATTCATCCCACCACACATTTTTACTTTTATTAAATAATTTATAATTACGTCTTGTTTATATTTTTGATACAATTCAGGTAACCATCAGAACTCAGTCCCACACCCAGGGCCATATCAAGGCATTTGGGGGGGTAAAGCAAATCAGACCCCTCCCAGGTATTTTAAGTGAAGGTGCTATTTGTTTTTATTATGCACAGAAAATGTGGCAGCTGAAAATGGCCTATCACGGTTCGTGTGTGTGAAGCATGTTTACTCTCATGAAGCACATGGACTCTTGCTGCTGCTGCTGCGTCATTTTCTTTCTCACTGAACGAGTGGATATTTTCTTCAGAAGGGGAATCCTCCTCGTCAGAATCAGAGTCTGCCATTACCAGAAAAAGAGCTTAGCCAACAATGACCAGACCCGTCAGCATTGTAAGTTTCTCCTCTCTAATATATAATAATATTAACATTTGCCCTCTGTGTGCTCCGCTCGTCTCCTCTACTCAGTCGGGAATAATTTACACACGAAAAAGGG